GTCTGGTGTGCGCGCGAAGCCGCGCGCGCTCGACGATGACGCTGCAGAAATGGCGCGCTTAGCCGGCGTGTCCGGCACTTCGCCGTAGGTAGCTGTCTCCGGCCATGCGGATAGCCGAGCGATGCGAACGGATACGCGAGTCTGGTGAGTGACGGCCGGTAGAGGGGCGAATCTCAACTAGGCGTGTGCTGCTGTGTCGTGTATAATGGCGTATTACACGCATAGCGTGTATTGCCTCGCGTCCACCATCCACAGTAGCCCCGGGTAGTGGCGCTGATCGATTCGCGGTTTTGGAGCGTCGCCACGCTTGGGATTCATCTATTGAATCGCTTCGATGGGCGTCACCTACCGTGAGTGAGTCGCCAAGTACACTTTGTGATTTGCGTTCCTTGAGTTGGTCGTAGCATTTCGGTGAGTGCGGTCGTTTTTTTGCGACGGCCATCAACTGCCCGATGTTTCCCTTGTCCAAGCGATGCACTATGCCGGTGGCGGCCCGTGCGCCTGCCCGATGGCCCTCGCAACGTCCGTGGACAAGTAGTGCGAAGCACGGCGACTGGGGCAAGCGTAACATTCCGGTGACCCGGTGCAGATGCACCGTCATGGCCTTGCGGGCTTGTCCACGACGGCAGGTCTCTATCTTCAACTACACCCTATCGACAAACGCGGACAACTGCCGCTGCCGGTTTGAGCTGTCGCTTGTCCCACCGCGCTCGTCAATGTTCCGGACATGTCGGCCCTTCCATCTGTATCCGGGAGATGGCTTCGGCAGGCGTCGCCGTGTCCCGGGTCGCGGCGCCCCCCTCGTAAATGAGTGCCTGATATTCGGGAGCGCTGACAGATCCGGGCAGCGGCTGTTGCGAATCCATGTCGAGGCGCGCTCGTGACCGTGTTCGCGCTCGGACGTCGAAGACAGGACGCGGCTCATGGCTCGCTGCGCTGGCTGCTGTGTCCGATGTTTTGCGCTGTTTTGGCGTTTCCAATGCAGGACCTCCTCGCGCGGGTTTGCGGTGTCGAAGAGTAGCTAGAACTACGACCGGAGTGTCGCCATGCCGACGCTATGAGGAGTCGGCGATGTTGAATATGGGCCACCAGCCGCCATCATGAAGTCCGTAACAGAGCCGAATGCACGCGGTCGAAGTGTTGCCGACACGCGCCGACCAAGCTGCAAGCCTATTGCGAGGCGCAGGATTGGCCTCGCAGGGCGTATGCCCAGGTAGAAATAGACCAGAAACCGCTGGCGGGATGATGGACGCGAGTATGAGGAAGAGCGTCTGGTTCGGCCGCAAACGATGCAGTTCCGGTGTTCGCGCGTGCGTGACACGTATCAGCCCATCGAGGGCCATGATTCGCCGAGCCGCTAGCGTTCCTTGACGCGAACTGGTGAGTTGATCTGCAAGTAGCACTACGACTATTGTGCCCACCAGTATCCAGTCGCGTGCAAGGCCATCGCCGCGCGAGGGACTTCAGTGGGTGCTCGTGAGCGTTGGTTCTTCTAGTGAGGTACGTTCTTCCATTGTTGGCAGTCTGCTAGGTCTAATCTGGTGGATCACTCCGTGTGAGTTAGAACAGGATATGCATACGGGTAGTTTGTCGGCTTACACGACTAACTCGTACTTAAGGCGCAGATTAAAGCAGGCCGGTGGCGTAGCCAATTCCCACGGAATGTAGTACCACGTGGATGCATACGAGCCTGAGCGCCATTCCGCCCCGACGATTGCCGCGGGCATGCTAAAGGTCGCCAGAGGGCGTCTGAAGGTTGCCAGTATAAATGTGTAGTGTGAATCTCGAGTGCCCACACTTGGTCGCCAGCGGTGATGACATCGGCGCGAATGTGGAGCCGGATGTGTTGAACGCCTGGGTGAATATCTGCACGACACATGAAGATGTAGCCGATCGGTTGCGAGTGACAGCCAGGTAGATGAAATTGCGATAAAATCAAATGGCGTCTGAGTGAGAAACCCGCATTGTTCAGGGAAGGCGATCAGCAACACGAGGGCGGGGGCTGCCATTCCGAAGCCGATGAGCATGCCCCAGCGGACTGCGCTGCGGGCGCGATCTGTGAGGTCCGCTCCAAGTTCTGCCCCGCCAGCGCGCCTGCCGCACGACCCATGCCGCGAGAACTCTGGTTGATGACATTTTCGGCGCGGCGAGCGAGGGCGACTGCGCTAGGGCGCCATCCCGATTGCGCCGCGACTCCCACGACGACAGCGTGGGAGACACCCCGACTGCAGTTGTTTGTTACGATGAGCCGGGGCACCCTGCCGATATGAGATTTCTGATGACGGCAAGTCAATGCGTGAACTCTCTGAAGGACAGGCCGATGCGCGCTCTGCCGGATCGGAGACGCCCAGTAAGTCATGCCACGCCAACACTTCGGCCGCCAGGCGGGCAAAGGCGGCGCCGCTGCAGGCCGAGTGCAGGCATGCCGAGACCAGCGCAATATGAATAGGGGGCTTAGCGCGCATGTGAAAGTCACACTGAGTACACTATACACGCTGCCTTCAAGGGGCGTGATGCATGGGTTCGCGCCTGTGATGCCTACTGAGCTGCGCGGCGAAGAGGCTTTGGTGATAGCTTAACACTGCCACTCGCACGATGAGCTGACGCGCACTATAGCCGGTGCCTGTTCAACTGCTGCGTCACGCATGCCGATCAAGCGGAGCAGGGGTCGCGAGGAAGATGCCGGCTGCAGTTCATCACGAGGGCCGATTGGGCTGATGTGAGCATGAACGACGGTGAGCGAGGACATGATTGGCATAAGGGAGTCGTGCGCGCCCCGATCTGCGCGTGCAATCATGGAGCGCATGCTGGAGTCCAAGCCCAGGTGCGCGCCATCATAATTGTGCTGAGATACGCCTGAGAGGCTCCAAGCAGCGACTGTGCCATGGAAGCCGACTCGACCGCCCAAACGAGGTCGGACGACTCTGGTCTATAACTCCGAGAACCTTCTGCGACCTGGGGCCAACCAAGATACCAGACATTGGTTGCGTTATATTGCCTGAGTGAGGTGTAGAGTCGGGTTTGGCGTATGTTTTTTTTTTTTTTGTTTTTTTGTTTTGTTTTTGTTTTTTGGGGTGTGGGTGGGGGGGGGGGTTTTTGTTGGGGTGTTGGGGGTTGTTTGGGGTGGTTGGGGGTGGGGTTGTGTGTGTGGGTGTGTTGGTGGTGTGGGGGGTGTTGTTTGTTGGTGGTTGGGTGTGGGGGGGGGGTTGGGTGGGGGTTGTGGTGGTGTTGGGGGGGGGTGGGTTTTTTGTTTTTTTTTTGAGAGGAGCGGTCGTCGTGACGGGGAGTTGAATTGTGCGATGCGTCGGCGGGTGCTTTGTGGTAGTTTTTTGTTGTGCGTCTCTGGCGGGCATGGCTTGGTGTGGTTCTGCGTGGTCGTCTATTCTGTGTCATATCTAGTCTCTTTCGGTCTAGCGCTATGTCCGTCTCTTGTTTTCTTTGCTCAAAGCCGCACACTGTCATCTGCGTGAGGATGAATAACATAGGACGAATGTGCGGGCAAGTCAAATCTGGCGCCTGGCGAACATAAACTGGAGTGACTTGAACGAAAGGGCGGAATCATATGATACTTACGTGTAAGGGAGTTACAGTAATGTAGTAAGGCTATGGTCTATATGACCGAACGGAATACTGACAGGACGCAAAGCAAGAGAGTCAACGGATAGGAGAGCGGCGCAGGCTGTCGGAGAGAATGTTGATGAGATTGTGGACGAGCGGTGAACAGACGGTGCGTGTGCAATCGTGAAGAGCGTGGACGCGGCGGAGAGCCTCGGCCGAGAACATACGCGACACGATACAGGGGATGCGCGGCAGTCGCGCGATTAATCGTGGTGCTGGTCGTGTTGACAAGGCGAGCCTGGACCGGCTGGACGACTGGGTGGAGGCGGGCATCATGAGCAGCAGGTCGGAGCGCCGCGGCATTCCTGATTAGTGAAGGTGTGAAGTCGAGGCAGCCACTGTTTGACAGATGGCGAAGAGCGAGAGATACAGGAGATACGGCGTGCGAAGGAGGAGTTGCGGCGCCAGATGGTTGATGAGGATCAGGCGGGAGCAGCTCCCAAATGCTTGCCGCAGTGGTCAGGGATGCTCAAATCCAATAGCATCGTGTTTTATTATTTTTTTTAGTTTTTTTGTTGGAAAGGGGGGGGGAGGGGGGAGGAGGAGGGGGGGGAGGGGAGGAGGGAGAGAGGGGGGATGGGGGGGGGAGCCGGGAAGGAGGCTGGGTGGGGGGAAGGGGAGGAGGTGGGGAGGGAGGGAGGAGAGGAGTGGGGGGGGGGGGGGGGGGGGGGGGTGGGGGAGGGGGAGGGGGGGGGAGGGGGGGGAGAGGGGGAGTGGAGAGGGAGGGGGGAGGAGAGAAGGGGAGGGGGGGGGGGAAGTGTAGTTTGTGGGGGGGAGGGAAGGGGGTGGAGGGCGAGGGGGGGGGGAGGGAGTGGTGTGTAGGGAGGGGGGGTAGGGAAAGGTCCGGATGGTTGAGCTTTTATTGTTGTGGGTGGTTGATAAATTTAGAGGGAATGTATTTGGCTGTTAGTGTTTTTTATTTTGATATAATATTTTTTCAATTTATTAATTGTGTTTTGTTTTTATTTATATATTTTTTTATTTTTTATTTTATTTTTTAGTTATTTTTTTTTTCAATAATTTTTTAATTTTTTTTAATTTTTTTAATTTTTTTTATTTATAATACGCCGCAATAATCAGGAGATGACCAATGGCTGTACGACTCAAGCATAGCGAGAGCATAACGGTCGGCAAAGAAGGCATTAAGCTGGGTGGCTCGTTCTCCCTGACTTCGGACGAACTCGCCAAGATGGAAGGTAAGGATGTAGCGAAGAAGGTTCGCAGCGTGAAGGAAGGGATAGAAGACAGAGTGCTCAGTTCGGCGCGGTTTGTTGGACGAAAGCGCTCTCAGGTCAGTAAGCTCGTGCGAAATGCGCCTAGATTGAACAAGTCCCGAATAGAAAAGTCGTAACTCACAACTATCACTCCACGGAGGCATCACGATGACTACCTCTTCATTTCCGATCATAAGCAAGCCTGCCATTGAGGACATGGAGACGAAGCCGAACCTTGACTATGACAAGGTGCGCGGCAACTTCGACTGGCAGCAGATGTATGACGAACTCGACTGGCTGCCGGGCGGCGGTCTGAACAAGGCGCACGAGGCTATCGACCGCCACGCGAATGGGCGCAACCGCGACAAGATCGCGATGATCTGGGAGGGGAAGAACGGCGAGAAGGAGACATATACTCTTCGGCAGATGAAGGAGCAGTCGAACAAGTTCGCCAATGTGCTGACGAGCTTGGGCATCGAGAAGGGCGACCGCGTATTCATTTACATGGAGCGGCTGCCTGAACTGTACTTCGCGTTCTTCGGCATACTCAAGGTTGGGGCCGTTGCGGGGCCGCTTTTCTCTGCGTTCGGGCCGGACCCTGTCAAGGACAGGATGCTGGACAGCGAGGCGAAGGTGCTCGTTACGCAGCCGGACTTGCGGCGCAAGATTACGCCTATCATACCGGTACTGTTCGAGCTTCAGCACATGGTCATCGTGAACAAGAACAACCGCGACCCGCAGCCGTTGATGTCCGGCGACCTGAGCTACGAAGAGGAGATGTCGAAGGCGACCGCGAACTTCGATACGGTTATCACCAGCCAGTACGACTACTCAATCATGCACTACACTTCAGGCACGACCGGCAAGCCGAAGGGTGCGGTGCATCGGCATCAGGCGGTAGTGCAGCAGTACGCCACGGGCAAGTGGGCGCTCGACCTGCAAGAGGACGACATCTACTTCTGCACGGCGGATCCAGGCTGGGTTACGGGTACATCTTACGGGATGATCGCGCCGTGGACGAACGGCGTCACCCAGCTTATATATGAGGGCGGATTCCGCGCGAGCAAGTGGTATCAGCTCATTCAGGACTACAATGTAACCGTGTTCTACACCGCGCCGACAGCGATACGAATGCTGATGAAGGCGGGCGATGATATTCCCGGACGGTACGACATGTCTTCGCTGCGCTTTATGGCGAGCGTGGGTGAGCCGCTGAATCCGGAGGCTGTTGTTTGGGGCAATGACGTCTTTGGCATGCCGTTCCACGACAACTGGTGGCAGACAGAGACGGGTGCAATAATGTGCGCGAATTATGCCTGCCAGGATGTGAACCCTGGCTCGATGGGCAGACCAATCCCCGGCGTAGAGCTAGGCATCGTTGACGACGAGTACAACGAGGTTCCGGTTGGAGAGGACGGCAACCTGGTGGTGCGCCCCACCTGGCCCTCAATGTTCCACACGTACTGGAACAACACGGAGATGTACAACTCGCGCTTCCGCAAAGGCTGGTACATCACGGGTGACACCGCGCGAGTCGATGAGAACGGCTACTACTGGTTCGTGGGCCGCGCCGATGATGTCATCAACACGGCGGGACATCTGGTGGGTCCGTTTGAGGTGGAGAGCGCGCTGATAGAGCATCCCGCCGTTGCGGAAGCGGGTGTCATCGGCAAGCCGGACCCGATCGCTATGGAAATCGTGAAGGCGTTCGTGTCGCTGAAGGATGGCTACGAGGAGTCGACCGAACTGCGGCGCGACATCATGCGCTTCAGCAGACAGAAGCTGGCGGCTGCGGTCGCACCGCGTGAGTTGGACTTCGTGCCCACGCTGCCGAAGACACGCAGCGGAAAGATCATGCGGCGGCTGCTGAAGGCACGAGAGCTTGGGTTGCCGGAGGGCGACACCAGTACGCTTGAAGACGATTAGAAATATGTTGACGATCCCAGGCTAGAGAGAATACCCATTTCGAGAGAGGACTCTGATGAAGATTAGCTGGTTCCACCTGATGCCATATCGGTTCTTGCCGAAGGACTTCGAGGATAAGTATCGGAGCGTGTGGGTGGATGTGCCCAGCCATCTGTTTGATGCCAACAAGGCGCATCAACTTTACAACGAGTATCTGGACGAGCTGGAGTTCGCGGCCGAGGTGGGCTTTGACGGTATCTGCGTCAATGAGCATCACAACAATGCCTATGGCATTATGCCGAGCCCGAACATCACTGCAGCTACGCTGACACGACGCACGAAGGATGCCGCCATCATAGTATTGGGCAACAGCCTTGCTCTGTACAATCCACCGCTGCGGGTCGCAGAAGAGTTTGCGATGCTGGACTGCATTAGTGGTGGTCGTCTTATCGCGGGCTTCCCGGTTGGCACTTCGATGGACACGAACTTCGCTTACGGCGTCAATCCGGCAACGCTGCGCGAGAAGTATTACGAGGCGCACGATCTCGTGATGAAGGCGTGGACAGAGCCGGATATGTTCTCCTTTAACGGCAAGTACAATCAGGTGCGCTTATGCCAACATCTGGCCTCGCCCGCTGCAGAAGCCGCATCCCCCGGTCTGGATTCCGGGTGGCGGCAGCGTGGAGACCTGGGAGTGGACGAGCCGCATGAACTATGTCTATTGCTACCTGAGCTACTCGGGTTACAAGCGGGGCATTCAGGTAATGGACGGCTACTGGAAGGAGATGGAGCGGCTGGGCACGGATGACAACCCATACCGCGCCGGCTTCCTGCAGCTCGTTTGCGTTGCGGAGACGGATGAGAAGGCCAAGGAGCTTTACGCGGAGCATGTGGAATACTTCTACAAGAAGTGCCTGCATGTGTATGAGGGCTTCGCAGATGCGCCGGGATATCGCACGATCCGAACTCTGAAGGCGGGCGCAGTGGCTCAGCTCGGAGCGGCGGCGAACCAGGCGCGGCAGGCGATGACCTGGGACGACTTTGTGGAACAAGGATATGTGATCGCGGGAAGCCCGAAGACAGTCATTGAGAACCTGCGTGGCGCTGTCGAGGGCCTGCGTGTTGGGCATCTGATGGTTCTGCTTCAGATTGGCAGCATGCCCAAGGACCTGACGATGAAGAACACAGAGATGTTCGCAACTGAGGTGTATCCGGAGCTTCAGGGCATGTGGGACGAGTATGAAGACCACTGGTGGCCGCAGCCGATCGAAGAGCCGGAGGTAGCGGGAATGGCGTCCGCAGGGCCGTAGCGATTAACTGGCGCGAATATGAAACATGGATGGGCAGGCCTAGGCGCCTGCCCATATCTCGCACGGCGCAAAATACAGTGTCAACGCACGTAGTTATAACTAGAGGTTGAGATAGATGGTGACCCAGCAGAATGGACAGGTAGTAACGGTTGGCGGCGGTGAAGTTGAGGTTGCCAGCAAGGGCAGTGGTGAACCGCTTGTTTACCTGCACGGCGCCTTCGGGTATCGTGGCTGGCATCCGTTCATGGATGAGCTCGCCGAGAACTTCACGGTGTACGCTCCGATACAGCCAGGCTTTGTCGATAGCGCGCCTGGGCCCGAAGATATTGACGACCTGCTGGACCTGACGCTTTATCACTTCGATCTACTGGATGCATTGGGGCTGGAAGCGCCTAATGTAGTCGGACACTTTCTGGGAGGCATGATCGCAGCAGAGATGGCGGCGCTAAGACCTAACAGCGTTGGCAAACTGTGATGGCTGCGCCCGCAGGGATATGGCTGGAAGATGATCCCGGCATTGACTACTTCGCAACGCCGATGGAGGAACTACGCGGCATATTGTTCGCTGAGCCGAATTCGGACGCCGCGAAGTCTGTGCTGCCTGAACCTGCGGACGACCTAGAGCGCGGTACTCAGATTTTGGAGCGGGTGCGCTCGCTGGCGACTGTGGGCAGGTTCCTATGGCCGATACCGGATAAGGGGCTGAAGAAGCGGATGCCTCGTATCACTGCGCCGACGTTGGTCGTCATTGGCGAACAGGACAGGATTGTGCCGGCGTCTTATGGCGACGAATATGCAAACGGCATCGCGGGAGCATCAGTGCAGATCATAGCGGGCGCTGGGCACATGCTGATGATCGAACGGCCGGGTGAGTTCGCGGAGGCGGTGACAGGGTTTCTGCAGTAGTATCTGCTTATCAAGTGTGTTGAATTGATGAAGACGCCGCCTCGCTATCAGAGTCGAGGCGGCGTTTTCGTGTTCACAAGCAAATGTGGCTTATCCCACGAACCAGTTTGCGAGTTCGTTGCGGTTGCGGTCTAGCCACGCGGCGTTGAGGCGTATGCGTTCCAGGGACTGGCGGACGGTGCGCTCGCCGCCTGGGGCGGGATTGTCGGTAAAGAATCGCTCGACATCGTCGTGCATGTCCAGGGTTGTGAAGGCCGAGGCGATTCCGACCAGCCGCATGATAGCGAAGCCACCCTCGCCGTAGCGCCTGTCGAGTTCCGGCCAGTTATCCTTGAGGAACTGCCAGGCGAGGTGACGTCCATTGCTGTTGCCCGCGACTAGAGTGATGACGCTGACGGTGTCGTGTACCCGTACCTCGTCGCCAAGGGCGCGGTTGAGGGTTTCTTCGAGGAGCGCTTGCTGCTCGAATGCAGTAAGTCCGAGAAGGAACCTGACCTTCTCTTCCTGGAGTGGTGTGTCTGCTCGGAGTTGCCACATCGCATCGTACTCGGAGCGTCCGCCTCTCTTTGCAGCGAGATGGAAGACGATTCCTCGAATGTCCGGGCTGACGCTTGCTGGATCTTCGGTGTAGACGGCGAAGCGAGCCGCGGCTTCACGCAGCGCATCCTCGTCGTCATTGCTTCCCATATGGCTCAACACGGTGCTGCGCAGCAGGGCGTCCATGTGCGCTTCGTCCGGCTTGGCGTCCCAGCCGACCTGTGCTGCCGTTTGTTGGAAGATGCTGCGAGAGAACGCCTGGAAGTTGCCGTAGAAACCTTCCTCGGACAGCAGATTGTCCAAGCCGCCCAGGTTTGAGGCAAGATCCGCGCAGACCGGGGCGTTGTCTTCATTTTGATACGCCTCAGCGATGGTCAGGAAATCGGTTGCGGGTATGATGCCTGCGCGACTGAGAGCGAATGCGTCGTTCTGGATTCCCAGCCTGTCGATCGGCGTAAGAGACTTCGATCTGATGGGTTCGACCAGGCGCTGCAGGTCGCTGCTGGCGTAGCGGACGCGGTAGAAGCCGGTCTGCTCCGGGTTGATCTTTGTCCATGCGTCGTCGTCTGCACCGGAGTCGGGAACATCCCACGCGAGTATCCTCGAGTCCATGAGCGTGCCTGCGCTGTCAGCGCCATTGCCGGTGTACACGCCAATGGGCGCCTTCCAGAGCGTCTCGTCCGCTTCGCCGTCCTCCACGATGGCGTCGTACAGGAAGCGGCTCTGCGTCAAGTGCATGCTGATGTTCCCATTGTTGCGCTCAACGCCGACATCCAGCATCGGGTAGCCCGTCTGCAATACCCAGCTGTCCATGATTTCGGCGACCGGTTCGCCAGATACGTCGGCTAGGGCATTCCATAGGTCGGAGCGTTCGGCGTTGTCGTACTGGTGCGTGGTCAGGTACTTGTTCAAGCCCTGCCGGAACGTCTCTTCGCCGAGGAAGCTCTCCAGCATTCGCAGGATAGATCCGCCCTTGCTGTAGCTGATGGCATCGAACAGCTCGCCAATCTGTGCGGGGTTGCTGACTTCCTGCTCGATGGGGTGCGAGTTCCGCAGGCCGTCAAGGCTCAACGCGCGGCCGGTGTCGCTGGATACGAACTGCGTCCAGACCTCCCAGTCGGGGAAGAGGTTGTCGGTCGCCTTGTCGCCCATCCAGGATGCGAAGCTCTCGTTTAGCCATAGGTCGTTCCACCAAGCCATCGTTACGAGGTCGCCGAACCACATGTGCGCCATCTCGTGGGCGACAATCGCTGCGACGATCTGGCGCGTGCCGACCGAAGTATTTTCAGAGTCAACGAGCAGGGCGGTCTCGCGGTATGTGATCGCTCCCCAGTTCTCCATCGCTCCCGCGGCGAAGTCAGGAATGGCGAAGTGGTCTAGCTTGGGCAGAGGATAGGGTATGCCGAAGTAGTCGTTAAAATACTTCAACAGGCGAAGCGAAGTCTCCAGCGCGAAGCGACCCTGCTCCTCGCGTCCCCGCGTCGTGAAGACGCGCATTAGAGTGCCGTTGTCTCCGACATCTTCGATGTAGGAAAGGTCTCCTACAATGAAAGCGAGCAGGTACGTGGACATGATCGGGGTTTCTACGTAGCTGACCGACTTGACGCCGGGGCGTATTTCTTCTTCGCTCAATACGGGCATGTTGGAGACGGCAGTCATCTCGGAGGGAACGACGAGTGTAAGCTCGAAGGTCGCCTTGAGCGCGGGTTCGTCCCAGCAGGGGAATGCGCGGCGGGCGTCTGTTGCTTCGAGCTGGGTTGTCGCCATGTAGCGCTCGTTGCCGTCTATGTCGGTGTAGCTGCTGCGGTAGAAGCCGCGGAGCTTGTCGTTCAGCTCGCCAGTGAATTCGATCGCGAGCGTCGCCTCGCCGACCGGCAATTCAGCGCCGAACTGGAATCTCGCAGTCTCGTCCTCTTCGTTTAATAGTGTGCTCCGCGCTGCCAGCACCGCACCGTCGGGCAGTGTTACTGTGCAAGTCTGGATCGCAATCTCTATCGAATTCAGAGTGATGGACCTTGTGGGAGACAGTATTTCAACTTGAATCGTCTCGCTGCCAGTAAAGGCGAATGTGGTGAAGTCCGGCTCCAGAGTTATGCGGTACTTGGAGGGCTTAACGTTGGTCGGGACCAGGACTGCGTTCGATGTTGTCATTGATTCCTCTCAGTGGTTGTTGTATGTCCAGCTTGGGATTAACTTGCCGTCCAGTTGGGCTTGCGCTTCTCGGAGAATGCGAGGGGGCCCTCTACGAAGTCGTCGGAGGCAGACGCCTTCACCTGTTCGGTGTAGGTTCTGTTGAGGGCTATGTCGAGTGGCCAGTCGTAGCCGCTCGTTGCCATCTGCTTACTTGCGCGCGCTGAGAGGGGCGCTACTTCGAGAATGTCGTTTGCCCAGCGTTCGGCGGTCGCCATGAGGTCTTTCAGAGGGCACAACTTCATTCACTAGACCAAGCCGATAGGCTTCCTGTATAGGTATTCGGCGAGCGGTCAGGAGCATGCCCATCGCAATCTTAAACGGGACGTGGCGGGGCAGCCTGTGGACGCCGCCTGCGCCTGCGATGAGGCCGACTCGCGGCTCGGGCAAGCCGACTTCGGCGTGGTCAGCGGCGATGATGATGTCGCAAGCCATTGCCAGTTCAAGACCTCCCGCCGAGGGCGTAGCCATTGACTGCGGCGATGATGGGCTTCCAGCACTCGAAATTTGATGTGATGCCGCCGAAGCGGCCTATTTCGCCGGATCGGTCGCGTCTGCCGTGTTCCGCAGTGTATCTGAGGTCGTTGCCTGCGCTGAACGCTCGCTCGCCCGTGCCGGTGAGAATCGCAACCCAGACATCAGGGTCGTCGCGGAAGTCGCAGAAGGCGTGGTAGAGTTCGGCATTCGCAGGTGGGTGCAGCGCATTCAGGCGCTCGGGCCTGGTGATTGTTACGTAGGCGATGCGCCCCTTCTTTTCATAGGTGATGAACTCATAGGCCATAGGTTTCTCCTAAATTATACGAATCAAATTCAGACGCAATTATATCAGTTTTGGATTGCTCAGTTCCCTTTGCCCCAGCCGTCCCAGTGCGTGACTTCCTCTATGGGCTTGCGGCGGGTGCGACCGTATTGTACGCCGTCTGCAGGGTAGCCTATGGGCAGCAGTGCGGCGGTCTCCACGTTGTCAGGAATGCCCAGAATTTCATGCACTTCGTCTTCGTATTGCTTGTGAAACGTGGTGAGAACGCTGCCAAGTCCAAGGCCGCGAGCAGCGAGCAGGATGTTCTGCACGGCAGGGTAGATTGACGAGCCGGTAGTCAGGTTGGTCGAGCCGCCATGCTCTATGCATGCGAGTAGCAACACCGGCGCTTCGTCCATGTGCTCAACGAGGTGGGTAGCGGAGCGAAGGATGCGTGGGTTGGCATCTTGGAGCCATTGGAGGCCCGGCAATGCTTTGCGTCCTGCGCGGCGATAGATGTCAGAGATCTTGACGCGCAATTCTTCGTCCTGGATGATCAAGAAGTGCCACATCTGCCGGTTGGTGCCGCTTGGAGCTTTGGAAGCAGCTTCCAGTATCTTGTCCAGCGTCTCTTTGGGCACTGGGTCCGGCTTAAAGTAGCGTATGGCACGCTGCGTGTGCATTGCTTCGAACAGACCGATTTCGTCAGACATTTTGCGCTCCCCAATAGTTAGACTTATCGTTAGACTTACGGGTGAGATTATAACGCATCGCGGATTGGCTTTGTGCACGCCGCAGACTGCGCTCTGTTAAGATAGGCGGGCAAAATTGACATAGTTTGGAGGCAACGCAGATGAAGGTTGGCACAGGAATGCAGGGCGGGCTAGTTGCGGAGATTCCGGCGAAAGTGCGTAAGGCAGAGGAACTCGGTTACGACTTCTTTGCAACCAGCGAGACGAAGCACAACCCGTTCGTTACGGCGGCGCTGGCGGCAGAGCACGCAGAGCGCGCGCAGGTGCGGACATCCATTGCGCTGGCCTTCGCGCGCAGTCCAATGGACACGGCGTACATGGCCTGGGATTTGCAGTCGTTGTCCGGCGGTCGCTTCCAGCTAGGTCTGGGCAGCCAGGTTCGCGGGCACATCGTCAGGCGCTTCAATATGCCCTGGGGCAGGCCAGCGGCACGTATGCGTGAGTACATACAGGCGATGCGCCATATATGGGGAAGTTGGCAAGATGGCACGCGGCTGAACTTTCAAGGAGACTTCTACAACTTCAACCTGATGCCGCCATTCTTCACACCTGACCCTATTGAACATCCTGACATTAAGGTTTACATCGCGGCCGTCAACGAGCGAATGTTGCAGGTAGCCGGAGAGGTTTGCGATGGGGCGCTGCTGCACTCGTTCGGAACCTTCAAGTACATCAATGAAGTGGTGATGCCCAACCTACAGGCAGGTGCGGATAAGGCTGGCAGAACACTTGCGGACATCGACATCAACGGCGGCGGCTATGTCATCACGGGGCCAAATGAAGAGCATATCGAGCGCAGCCGTCAAGAGGTCAAGAACGCCATATCCTTCTACGCTTCGACAAGAAGCTACGCGCCGGTGATGAACCATCACGGGTGGAACGACACAGCGCAGAAGCTCTATCGCATGTCGGTCGACAACAAGTGGAGCGAGATGGGCGCGCTGATTACCGACGAGATGCTGGACGAGTTCGCAATCGTTGCCGGCTACGACGATGTGGTTGACAGGATAAAGGAGACATACGGACCGTTCGCGAGTTCGCTGAGCTTCTCGATTCCGGTGAACTCGGGTGAGGACGAAGAGGTACTTAAGGATATGATTGCGCGGTTGCAATCGGACTAGGCGGATCAGAGAGCGACAACGCGCGGTGGATTGCGCCGGCGTTCATGGCGTATGATGTCCTCGATCTCCAGCGCAGCTTCATCGGTGGCGTCAGTGTGGTGGACGATGGTGTAGTCAAACGTTTCGGCTTCCTGCAGTTCGTGGCGCGCCTGCTCAATGCGGGTTCTCAGGACGTCGGCGGTCTCGGACCTGCGCCCGCGCAGTCGGCGCTCGAGTTCTGCCTCGCTGGGCGGCGCGAGGAAGATGAACAGAGCGTCCGGCGCCAATTTGCGGACGGTCGCCGCGCCCTGCACATCAATCTTGAGGATGACGTCCTGACCTCGTCCCAAGGCGTCCACCACCTGTGATTTGGGTACGCCGTAGTAGTTGCCAAAGACGTTTGCCCACTCCAGCAATTCTTCGTTCGCGATCATGGACTCGAATCGCTCACCGCTTACGAAGTGGTAGTCCACGCCGTCCCGCTCGCCGCCGCGCATGGAGCGGGTCGTGGCGGTGACCGCGAGGTGGTAGGGTCTGCCGGACGCCCTGAGGCGCGAGAGCAGGAAGTCCTTGCCGACTCCGGATGGGCCGGACAAAACAATCAGCAGGGAAATATGGTCGGCAGGCTCCGGCATCAGCGGTTGCGGAGGTATGTCCATGGACTCTTCTTTTCGCCGCCGGTCATCTGGTTGTAGCGCTGCGTAAGGCGCTCGCCGAAGAAGGCGGTTGCCATAGACTGGCCGGCGGTAGGCAAATTGTTCTCGCCCGTATCGACGACCGCTCCGGCGTCCCATCTGGCTCTGCCTTCCCATGCCTTGATGAAGGTCTGCACAAGATCGTCGTTGGAATCCTTAATCATATTGCGGTATGTGTAAAGCTCCGTGATGTACTCGTCAAGCCAGTGGACAAGAGCTTCGACATTTGTGTAGCAGGATGCTTCGTTGTCCAGCGGGTCTTCAGATGCGAGGCGCGAGTATTCGGCAAAGGTCGCGGCTGCGAGCTGGTGCATTTCGCGCCAAGATTCGCTGCCCGACGTGGTGGTTACGAATGCAGAGGAAAGAACTGTGGGCAGGACCTCCATCGCCACTGCATAGCTGTCGTGCTCGTGCGGGTCGAGGAAGAGCGGCTTCGCGCCGATGAGTTCGACCAGGCCGACGACTGTCTTGACAGCGGTTTGATCGGCGTTGTTGGCAGGCGAAATGCAGTATTGACTGCCCTGGAACAGGTCGGCGGATGCGTCTTCCAACTTGGTGAAGGGCTTGCGAATCAGCGGTCGTCCGCCAACAAAGCTGACGTTTGGGGGCAGAAGTTGGTCTGCCCATTCCATCGCCTTGACCTTGGCGGTGCAGGTGTCCGTTATAACGCAGCCGTCCTCAACAATGGGCGCGATTGCGTCCAAGATTTCGCGTGTCTGGGTGAACGCCGAGTCGAGGACGATCATTTGCGCGCCGCGAACGGCGTTCCGCAGATTCGGAGTCTCTTCGTCGTAGGCTCCTGCCTTGTATGCAATCTTCAGGGCATCTCTGTCGCCTGAGCTTCCTACAATCTCCGTGTTTCGCAGGTTGGCTCGCTTGAGGGCGAGTCCCATGGACACACCCACGACGCCAGTGCCAATTATCGTAATGCGCTCCAAGGTCACACCTCCAGCTTCAACCAGCTGCTACTCTTTAAGTTTATGCTCACATTCAAGAGTCTAACATAATTTCCAAGTATATCGTTATACGCCCAGCAGCAGCCTAGCCAATGTACTTATCGCCGGAAAGAGGATACGGCTTAATATTCCCGTGTTGAATATGCTGTCGGCGAGTACGACCAGCAGTAGAATCACCACGCCGAAGCGTTCGGTGCGCTCCAGCGGCGTGGCAATGACACGGGGCAGTATGCCCAGGGCAACCTTAAAGCCATCAAGCGGCGCGACGGGCAGCAGATTGAATACTGCGAGAACAACATTCCAGAGAACCAGCGCTTGCAGAAACTTGTCGTCTATGGCGCCGCTTCCAAGGGAGAGTGTGCCAAACCGAACCGGCAGGGCGGCGAGCGTGGCTACAATAAGGTTCGAGACCGGACCTGCGAGCGCGACCACAGCCATGCCAGGGCGCGCGCCTATGCGGATGTTCGACGGAGATACGGGCGTGGGTCTGCCCCAGCCGAAACCCGCGACGAGTATGAGGATTGTGCCAAGTGGGTCGAGGTGTCTGACAGGGTTAAGGGAGAGCCTGCCTTGTGAACGCGCGGTGTTGTCACCGAGTTGTGTGGCAGACCAGGCGTGGCTGAATTCGTGGACTGTGATGCCTACTATGAGCGCGACGGCAAAGGCGGCAAGGCTGATAAGCGCGCCAAGCGGATCAATCTGAAACTGGTCTAAGAGTCGGAATAACAAGCTGAATCCTGCGTTAAGTTCGACAAGCGACGGCGCGGCGGGACGAACGAATCATCCCGCCGCGCGGTGTTTCAAATCTGTTTATAAGGGTTTAGTGGCCGCCACACCCGCATCCACCACCACCACCGCCGCAACCACCGCCGCCGCCGCCACCGCAGCCACATCCTCCGCCACCAGCACCGCATGCGCATCCGCCGCCGCCACTGCCAACTTGGAAGTTGGGGTTGCTGATGACGAAGCCGCTTCGCATCAGGCCGTCCACATAGTCAATCTGGGCGCCCTCGACCAAAGGAGCGCTCTCAGGGATCAACAAGAACCTGTACGCCGGGGGCCTCAATTACAAGGTCGTCATCCTTCGCTTCGCGTTCCATGCCGAGCATGTACTGGAAGCTGCCGTTTGGTCCGGGCACGACCATCATTCGCAGCAAAGCGCCCGTCTCACCCTGCTCGTTCAGTATCTCTTCAAGCTTCTGCGAAGCCATGTCGGTAACCTCGATAAGAGGAGTTGTTGTCACCGTTACACCTCCGGGCGATAATGCCTCAGTATGCAGACGCTGCTGCCTATTTGCCAATCGTATCATTGCGGCAACAGGCGGGTCAAGGAGTACGACCGCCCGCGCCTTTGCCTACACGGGGTAATGCTTTGACAGGTTCACACGGTGGTCGGGGTCGTGCGAGATTAACTGGCCTCGGCGTATCTGTTCCTCAACGGGGACGATGCGCGGCGGCCTGGGATTTGGTGGGGCATTGCCTATCGCGCCTCGCGCCTCCATTGCCTCTACCTGCTGTGCGTTTGCTCCCATCAATTCGGATAGGACGAAGCGGTTGTGCTGCCCGAGAGTGGGCGCAGCCGCCCGTAATTCTGCTGGTGTTCCGGAGAACTTCCATGGTCTGCTGCTGTAGGGCAGGGGCGGCATTCCTGTACTGGAGTGGTGCTCGGCAACTTCATAGAAGCCACGATCCTTCAAGTGCGGGTCGAACAGCAGGCTCTTGCCGTCGAGCACCGCGCCTGCGGGAACACCCTTCGTCTGCAATGCTGTCATGAGCGCGTACTGTTCGTGTGAGACTGTTGCCTCGGACAATAGAGCGTCAATAGCATCGCGGTGATTCCAGCGCGATAAGGCGTCGGCGAAGCGCGTGTCCGCAAGCCATTCGGGGCGTACCTAGTGCATCACAGAGGGCGCTCCACTGCTCATCGGTGGAGACGGCTATTGCTATCCACTTGTCATCACCTGCGCAGGGGTAGCAGCCGTGCGGGGACATAAGAGTATCCTGGTTGCCCACGCGTTCCGGAATGCGTCCGTTGACTGTATAGTCCATAATCGCTTCCGGTATGGTAGATGTGAGCGTTTCCGACTGCGAAATATCTATGAATTGCCCTTTGCCGTGGCGTGCGCGGTATGAGAGCGCTGCCATTATTGCGAACGCCGTGTGCTCGGCAGCGGTGTAGTCGGCGTAGGGTATCTCCGGCAGGACGGGCGGACCGTCCTTGTAGCCACTGATGTGCGAGAGTCCGGAAGTTGCTTCGGTCGTGTAGCCGATCGCGCCATAGTCTGCCCAAGGGCCGGTGTAGCCGTAGCCTGTGGACGAGACCATGATAATGTCGGGACGGATTTGGCGCAGGTCTTCGTACTCCAGCTTGAAGTTACGCATGACACGCGGCGTGAAGTTCTCGGCGAAGACATCGCTGATGCTAACCAGTTCGCGCAGGGCTGCGATGCAGTCGTCGTCATTGAGTTCGAGGGTGAGGCTGTACTTGTTTCGGTTCTGCTCGTAGAAATTTGCGGCGCGGTCCCAATGGCGTCCCTCGCCCCTGTTCTCGTACATAGAGCTGGTGCGGTAGTTATCAAGGCGAGCGCAAGACTCAATGCGGATTATCTGCGCGCCCATGTCGCCGAGCAATTTGACGGCGTGAGGGATGGCGATGAGCTGTCCCATTTCGACTATGCGAACGCCTGCGAGTGGCAGCGACATACTACACAACTCCTGATGCGGTCAGCGTGTTGAGGTCGTCGAGGGACAATCCAAGCCTGTCGCACAGAATCTCCCGGTTGTGCTCGCCAAGCAGCGGCGCATGTGACGAAGCTTGCCAAGGGGTTTCGCTCATTATGAAGGGCGCGCCCGGGTATGTCGCATTGCCAAATTCGGGATGCTCGATGTCTGCGAAGTAGCTGCGGGCGCTCGTACTGCTCGCTGGCAAGCACTTCCGCCGGGCTGTGAACTACGCCGTAGATGTGTCCGCGACGCTTGTGCGCCTCGCGCATCAGGTCGAACTTGCGCCAGTGCGCCAAGCCTGATTCCAGCGCTTCCTGCAAAGCCTGTGCGTTGTTGAATCGGCTTTCGGGGTGTGGCGAAGGCTTCGTCTTTCAAGTCGGGCGCGTCAATGAAGTCTGCTACGCCATCCCAATCGACCGCGCCGCCGAAGTGTATGGGCACGATATAGCCGTCCTTCGTGGGCACGGGGCTGCGCGGCATGTCCCCCGTGTATGCGGGTTGGCGCTGGCGAGTGCTGCCAACGTAAGTGTACAGCGAAGTGGTGTCGCGCAGGGCGGATGCCACGCATTCCTGATGGATATGTCTATGTGCTGCCCTTCGCCGGTGAATTGCTGGTGATACCAGCCGATGAGCGCGGCGGTTGCCGCGTTCGTGCCTGCCTTGAACTGCGTCTGGCGGAGCGCGTGCTTGAGCGGCTCGCGGTCTGCCGAACCGAAAATGTACATCAGGCCGCCGAGCGCGTAATGCACGATGTCCGCTGCCTTGTAGTCGCGGTAGGGTCCGGTCTGCCCGAAGTTGGAGATCGATACCATGACCAGCGAAGGGTTTATCGCTGACAGTGAATCGTAGTCCAGACCCAGCGAGGGCATGACGCGAGGCGTAAAGTTCTCGACAAGAATGTCGGTGTCAGCAAGCAGTCTGTGGAGCAGCGATTTGCCGGTTGCAGTCTTCAGGTCGAGCGTTATGCTCTTCTTGTTCGTATTCAGGTATGCGAACAGGAGGCTGCGTTCCTTGGTGCGGCTCATCGCTGGCAAATGGCGGCAGGCTGCGGGCAGAGTCACCCTGCGGTCGCTCGACCTTAATGACGTCAGCGCCGAAATCGGCAAGGAGTTTGGTGCAGTAAGGGTCCGGCGACATGCTGTGTGAGGTCGAGTACTCTGACGCCTTGTAAAGCTCGGTCTTGCAATTTCAGGTGTTCCGTTTGCGGGTATGATTCGGGTGAAATTTGCGGGGCAATTATAACACGCTGAGCGGTCTGGCTTGCGCGTGTCGGGAAGGGTGCATATAATCTTTGCTGAATAAGGGCATTAACGGTTATAGCAGAAATCACATTAGTTGACAGGAGATTCAGATGGCAGCGAGCATTGCATATCTTGCGTCCGACGGGGCGCTTGTGGAATCGTTTCAAGGGCATGCGCCGGAGGGCGCGGAGATAAAGTGGGTTGATTCGTCGCAATCAATAGAGCAGCAGGCGGCAGACCTTGAGGGTGTTGCGGCGGTGATCGTTTCACCGAGCGTGTATTCTGTTGAGCTGGCTCGGCTTACGCCCAGCGTGCGTCTGGTGCAGACAACGAGCGCGGGCACGGACATGATCGACAAGCAGACGCTTGGCGAGCTTGGAATTCGGGTGGCGAACAATGGTGGTGGAAACGCAATCTCGGTAGCAGAGCATACGATCACCCTACTGGTAAGCGTGTACCGCAAAATGCAGTTGCAGTACAACACGGTGCAGGCAGGCGAGTGGGCGGGCAGCATCCGCAGCGACTGGTTCTCGCAAGCGCACGAGATTGCGGGCAAGACGGTTGGCATCATCGGGCTGGGTCGCATCGGGTCGAGAGTGGCGCGGCGGCTTCAGGGCTGGGAGTGCGACATCATCTATTCTGATGTAATTCCCATTGATCCCGAGTTGGAGGCTGAGCTTGGCGCGACACGCATGCCGATGGATGAGCTATTGCAGACTGCGGACATAATCACAGTGCATGTGCCGCTGGGTCGCAGTACGACAAACTCATCAGCGATCGCGAGTTCGACCTGATGAAGCCGTCAGCAGTTTTCATCAACGCATGCCGTGGGCCGGTTGTGGACGAGGCGGCTCTGATTCGCGCCATCCAAGAGAAGAAGATAATGGCTGCCGGTCTCGATGTGCTGGAAGAGGAACCGACATCACCGGACAACCCGCTCTTTGAGTTCGACAATGTGCTCATTACGCCGCACCTTGCGTCTTTCACACAAGAGTCGGGCGAGCGAAGTCGCGCGTTTGCCGCATACAACACTTCGAAAGTGGCAAGCGGCGATGATCCTGAGTCAATCGTGCTGCCCGACTAGGGATAGGCAACACCGAGCTTTTTCAGAAGGTCAAGCGGGGCGGATTCCAGTAGGTGATTCGCCTCGCTCTCATTTAAGCCTGCGCCCAGCGCGACTTTCATCGCAAACTCAGGCGTGAGCAGGTCTTCGGGTGCGTGTGCGTCCGAGTCGAGCACGATGCGCGCGCCAGCCGCATTTGCTGTGCGAACTACATGCCCGTTTGCGAATCCGTGTCCCCTCCGCGCAGAGACCTCCAGAAGATGCCGCGTTCTGCCGCCATTTGAGCTTCTTCAGGAGTGATGAGGCCCGGATGGGCGAGGACATCGATGTGATTTGAGCTGACGGCTGCGTAGTTGGTGCCCGGCTCCACAGGCTCTACGACAGTTTCTCCGTGAACATTGACCACCTTTGCGCCGAGAGCTCGGGCTTCCCGCGCAATCATATCTATATCGTCTTTTGGCACGTATGTGATTTCCACACCGGGTAGAGCGAGTATGTCCCAACGCTTCGACGCGACGGCGCAGTCCTTCACCAGCGTCTTGATGACGAACTCCAAGTTGCCCGGGCCCACATGGTCTGTGATTGCCATAACGCGATAGCCGTTGTGAATGGCGCGGCGAATAAGCTCAGTAGGCGCGAGAACGCCGTCACTGAGAAAGGTATGTGTATGAAAGTCGTACATCTTCTATCCTTGCGGTTGTGGGGGACCTTGATACTGCATAGAATCGGGTAGGGCGTCAATAATTCCAAGGCTTGCCAGAGTCCTATTCACTACGAAAGCGACCACATCATCGAGGGATTGCGGGCGGAGGTAGAATGGTGGCTCAGGTGGCAGGACTGTAACGCCAAGACGCGCCAACACCGCCATGTTCTCAAGGTGTATGGCGCTGAGTGGAGTCTCACGAGGCACAATCGTCAGAGGGCGGCGCTCCTTGATGCAGACATCGGCGGCGCGGCGTATGAGGTTGTCAGAGAAGCCGTGCGCTAATGCTGCGACCGTTGACATGCTGCATGGGACGATTGCCATGCCGTGAACAGGAAAGGTGCCGCTCGCGATTGGAGCCTGGATGTCGCCGGGCGCGTAGAACGTGAAGTCTCCGGCGTCCTGCCACTGCTCAAGCGCCTCGCCGAACGAAGTGTCCATCTCCTGCTGCCAGACCATGCGCGCCGCGGACGATGCGGTTGCGATGACGGGTCTATCCATGTCAAGCAGGGCGTCAATGACACCGTTCGCAATAGCGGAGCCGCTCGCGCCGCTGATGCCGACGACGACCGGATGCGTTGCCGGATGCGTTGATCGGAGTTGACCCGGTGCCCGATTCTGGTTCATATCAGCACCGCTATGAGGGTTGCCGTGAACATGGTCGTGGACACATAGGCGTTAATGCGGAAGAACGCCATTCCCAAGCTCGATAGGTCATCGGGGGAGACTAGACGGTGCTTGTAGATCAGGAAGCCAGCCGCGAGCGCGATGCCGATGTAGTAGGGCCAACCGATGGCGAGCCACACTCCGAGCACAATCAGGGCTATAAGCGCCAAGCCATCCATGACGCGCGCCCACCAGAACGCGCCAACGACACCGAAGCGGCTGGCAATGGAGTGCAGCCCTGTCTGCTTCTGGAAGTCATAGTCCTGAGTGTGGTAAAGGATGTCGAAGCTGCCTGCCCAGAGGGCGACAGCAAGCGAAAGCAAGACCGACTGCCAAGGAAGGCTGCCGGCTACGCCTATCCATGCGGCGGAGGGCGCTATTGCGAGCGCCCAGCCTAGCAGCAGGTTCGATGCCCATGTGAAGCGCTTCGTGTACGGGTAGAAGATGAGGTAGGCTACGGCGACCGGCGCAAGGGCGAGTGCAAGTGTATTGAGCTGATATGCCGCGAATATCAACACGGCGAATGCAACAAGTGTAAGCAGCGTCATGTCGCGCATGCTGAGCTTGCCGGATGGCAGGTGGCGTGAGGCGTTGCGCGGGTTCTGCGCGTCAATGTGACGGTCTATGATCCGATTGGCTGCCATTCCGACAGTGCGCGCGCCGACCATTGCGACGGTGATCCAGATGAACTGGTGCAGCGTGGGATACCAGCGAACCGCCTCGGATTCAGTCCAAGCGGCGAGTATCATGCCCGTGTAAGCAAATGGCAGCGCGAAGATGCTTTCGTGGAACTTTATTGCGTCCAGGAATAGTCCCATCTTTCGGCCCATCTTCTGCCCATCTTGCGCGCCGCGGACAGGGGGATTGCTGCTGCGCTCATATTCCGTACTCCCGCCATCTTGCATCAACGAGCGCCTTGATCTCATCGCTCATAACGATGTCAGGCGGCCATTCGCGTGTTCGCCCGTCCAGCCTTCCTTTTGCGGTGGCGTCTATGCCCATCTTTGTGCCATAGCGCGGTTTTGCGCTGGCATGTTCAAGGTCGTCGAGGGGACCTTCGGAGAAACGATGTCGGAGCCGGGGTCAAGGTTGGCTGTTACGCGCCATGCGACTTCCGACAAATTCTGCACATCCACATAATGGTCAACGATGACGATGATTTTGGTTAGCATCATCAGTCCCAGACCCCATAGGGCATTCATCACCTTGCGGGCATGGCCGGGATATTCCTTCCTGATTGAGACGATGACGAGGTTGTGGAATATGCCCTCGGCAGGCATGTTGATGTCCACAACTTCAGGAAGCGCCGCTTGAAGCGCAGGTAGCATGATGCGCTCTGTGGCCTTGCCCATGAAGAAGTCTTCCTTTGGCGGCACACCGACGAATGTCGTGGGATATATGGGATCACGGCGATGCGTATGGCAGTCAGATGGAAGACAGGGTAGTCTTCAGCGAGCGAATAGTAGCCGGTATGGTCGCCAAAGGGCCCTTCCGGGCGCAGCTCGCCCGGGATCGACGTACCCTTCCAGCACGATCTCGGAATGCGCAGGCACTTCAAGGTCGATGGTCTTGCACTTGACCATCTCCACGGCTTTGCCTCTGATGACGCCCGAAACTGCAATCTCGTCCATGTCGGGAGGGAGCGGCATGGAGCCTGTCCATATAGTGGTGGGATCGCCTCCGAGCGCAACGGCGACATCGAGGCGTTCAAGCCTTCTTTCTTCGCCATCGCGGTAGTGGCGCGCGCCGACCTTGTGGGACTGCCAGTGCATGCCCATCGTCTTGCCATCGTACACCTGCATGCGGTATGTGCCGACGTTGCGCCGTCCCGAAGTTGGGTCGCGCGAGATGACCAGCGGCAAAGTGATGTAGCGCCCGCCGTCGAGCGGCCAGCATTTCAGAATTGGAAAGCGGTTCACATCGGCGTCTTCGCCCGTCAGCACGACTTCCTGACAGGGAGCGTTCTTGACAATTTTGGGCTGGCTGCGCGCAAGCCCCGCAAGATCGCCGACCGCTCGGAGCTTGTTGACGATGCCGGCAGGTGGACCCTGTGTGAGTCCAAGCAGCTTTCGAACGCGGTTCGTGAGTTCATCGATATGATCGACGCCCAGTGCCCATGCAACCCGTTGATGGGTGCCGAAAATGTTGATGAGTACAGGGGTGTCACCGCCGTCTACATTCTCGAACAAGAGGGCAGGTCCGCCTTCAGCAATGACGCGGCTGGCAATCTCGGTGATTTCCAACTCGCTACTGACCGGCGATTTGACTCGGCGCAACTCGCCTTTGCGGTCCAGGAATCGGACGAACTCGCGCAAATCCTTGTAGTTGCTCATGCGCTGACGGCGCCTTGTGCCTGTCTGATTTGCGTGGACGATATGTCGCTGCGGAACGCCGATTCAGGGATGGGCTGAAGCATGTCATCGAAACCGTCAGGGATGTTGACATCGGACAGGGTACGAAAAGCGTTTCCCTCGGCGCGCCCGGCGACGAGAAATCGGCAATTGTGCTTTCGCATCTGCTCCAGCGCCAGCATCATTTGAGAGGCGCTGCCCCCGTAGTATCTTGGGTCGAAAAGCCTTACGGCGGTGTCCACGCCAATGATGAAAGTGCATCCCGGCAGAAGGCTTGCCTTTTCGTAGAACACGGGAACGCGAGTCAGAACGATACTTGCCTTGCCGGTGAACTGCGCGACCCTGCGCCGCACCTCGCCTTCAAGCAGCGGCGGCTTGTCAACATTCGTCACGGACAGTTCATACGCCACCGGCTCTCCAAGCATCTTTGATGCCGTTTCCACAAGAGCTTCGTGCCCCTCGTGCAATGGGTTGAATGAGCCGGACAGGATGCCGCCGGTGAACGGTTCGTCAGCAAGCATGCTGCCGTCCGCCCGCACGATTGCCGTTTCTATGTGTCCTGTCATCAACGCTTCTATGGGGTCTTCGTACCGTTTGGCTGTTGACTGCACGCCTTCGGAAGAGTCGAGGCGCAAGTCGGTGTCAAACTCCACTCCGGCGCTCTCTGCAATCGCGCGCAGGACCAGTTTGCTTGCAATCTCGTCTTCGCCCGCGCGGTCGCGCAATCCCTTGATGAAAGTAAGGTTGTATGTGTTGACGCCGATGCTATGCCAAGCCGCTATATGACAACGGTGTTCGCCGCGCTTCGTGCGGTCAGTGGCGATGGTGGCGGTGCAGGCTATACCAACCACAGGCGCCGCGCCCTCTCTGAGATGCAGGGCGCGTCTATATGCAGACTTCGCCATTGCGACGGCTGTCTCCTCTGATACGAACTGTGTTGGCTCATATCCGACGAACTCGGTGAGGGCAGGTGAAGCATAAGGGACCGAAATTTCCAGAACTGTGCGCGATGCTCCGGCAACCCCAAGCAGCCAGGATATTGCCGCTGTGCCGGCACCCGCGACTGATACGACTGCCAAAGTCTGACTGTCGTGAATCCGCTGCACAAGGTCTATTGGAATTTGAAGCTGAGAATTCATAATTGCAGGGCGTGAGAAACGCCGCTCCTAGCATCTACTTTACCGCACTGCCGCTGTGTGAATTGTAGCAGATGGGAATGTGGCGCGGCATGCTGTTCCACACGTCTCCGGACGCGGGCTTAATTTGTTCTGCGATAGTGATCCACGACCTGCAAGATGCCGTCCGAAAGCGCAACTTTCGGCTTCCACGATAGTATCTGCTGTGCTTTGCTGGAATCGAGAACTACATGCATTGCTTCGCCGGGGCGCACTGGTGCGTATCGCGGTTGCATGGATGAATCCGAAGCACCACGAACAGCGTCGAATATCTCGAAGTCCGACACGCCAATACCTCTGGCAAGGTTGTAAGTATCGTTGTCGCCGACATCGCCGAGCGACGCGATGTTGGCTGCAACGATGTCGCTGACGAATATGTAGTCGCGCGTCTTGCTGCCATCGCCGAAGATGGTCGGCTGTTCTCCGCGAATGAACTGACCTGTAAATATGGCGACTACGCCCGCTTCGCCGTGAGGGTTCTGGCGCGGTCCGAACACATTGCCGTAACGGAATATCTTGTGCTTGATGCCGTAAGTGTTGCTGTATAACCGTATGAAGTTTTCCACGCTGAGCTTGGAGACGCCATAGACCGATTCCGGCATTTTGGGATGATTTTCGTCCATGGGGAGGTTTTGCGGCTTTGAGTACACGGCGCTGCTGGAGGCGAAAATCAGGCGCTCCACATCGTGCTCGACAGCACATTGCAGCACATTCAGCGAGCCGATTATGTTCACATAGGCGTCGTTGGCAGGGTCGGACATGGAGTTGCGAACGCTGACCTGCGCCGCGTTGTGACTAACGACATCGGGCTTAGCCTCAGCAAATGCCCTCTGCAATCCGTCTGAGTCGTTGATATTGACATCAAACATGCGCGCGTGGCGGTTCAGGTTTTCAGTATTGCCTTCAGACAGTTATCGACGACGAATACGCTGTGTCCGTTTCGATGAGCGTGTCAACGATGTGTGAACCTATGAACCCACCACCACCTGTGACCATTACACGCATTTATTCAACCTCTCCACATACCTATTAGTTTAATTGTCCAGGCAGAAATTTCTGAGATTGATGCTTCAAATACTGCCATTTTTGGGTGTTATATTATACATTGTTAAGACAGGGTAAAGGCACCTACGGGCTATTGCAATGCCGATCCAGAACATATTCAGCATCGCGGCAAAGGTGTAGAGTGCAGAACATTTGGAAACCGGGCTCCTCCGATGAAACTGACAACTTGGGTGAGCAGTCAAATACCGGATCGGTGCTCGTTACCGTTGCGAATCGCAGGATGCCGTCCAGGCTAGCTGCGAGCCCTCTGCTGATAATATACTTCTTCCTTGCTATCATCTTTGTTGGAACTATGCTGCTTCTGCTGCCGTTCGCCAGCGAGGAAGTGGGCTCCGCTCCCTTCACCGTTGCACTCTTCACCGCTACGTCCGCTATTACCGTGACCGGTCTTGTCGTGGAGGACACGGCATTCTATTGGACCCGCGCCGGTCAAGCCATAATCATGGGGATGATATACATCGGCGGCCTTGGCTTCATGACCATCGCCACCTTCCTTCTCATCCTGATCGGGCAACGGGTAACGCTGACTCATAGGCTGCTGATGCGTGAGAACCTCATGCTTGACCAGTTTGGCAATCTGGTCAGACTTACTGTTGCCATCGTGCTTGTCGCCACAGCCATCCAGTTCTTTGGGTTCACAGTTCTCTTCACATACTTCTATCTGTTCCTCTATCCAATGGGAGAGGCTGTGTGGCAGGCCGCGTTTCACGCGGTATCAGCCTTCAATAACGCCGGTTTCGTAGCGTTCAACCATCCAAGCGGCCTTACAGTTTTCCAGACAGATAAGTTCGTAATCGGCGTACTTGGAACTCTGATCTTCGTTGGTGGAATCAGCTACCTCGTCGTCATCGATCTGATACGTGCAAGACGCTTTGCCAGGTTCTCGCTCAACACGAAGTTGGTGATTGTCGGAACCACATCGCTTCTTCTGTTGGGTTTCGCTGCTATTTTTGTACTGGAATACAATAACCCGAGTACGCTTGGTGAACTGTCCGTATTGGATAAGGTAGCGGTGTCTATGTTTCAGTCTATCAGCGACAGGACAGCGGGATTTGGCATCGTTGACATAAGCAAGGCGCACGACGGTACAAATGTGCTTCAGATGGCGCTGATGTTCATCGGCGGAGCCTCAGCATCGGTAGCGGGCGGCGTTAAAGTTAACACGATGGCGGTCGTCGTCGTTGCGCTAGTCGCCCAGATCAGACAAAGAAACAATGCCTCTGTATTCGGCAGGGAATTGCCTGATCGTCAGGTGCAACGCGCGTATCTCATCCTAAGTGTAGCCGTTGCCTTCGTGTTCTTAGTAGTGATGCTTCTAAGTATTACTGAGGACGGCGCGGACACACTTGCAGTAATCTTCGAGGTGATTTCCGCATTTGGCACGTGCGGCTTGAGCCTTGGAATTACCACCGCACTGTCACCAATCGGGCAACTTATAATCACAGCGACTATGTTCGTTGGCAAGCTTGGACCCCTGTTGATAGGCATCACAATGTCGCAAGGATCAGAGGACGACCTGTACCGCTACGCACAAGAAAGAGTTACAATAGGCTGACGCCTAAATCCCTATGATTAAGGTGAACGAAGGTGAAGAAATATGAAGAAGCAGATTGTTGTTATAGGACTTGGGCGCTTCGGGTCGAGCGTGGCGCAGACCCTTTACAATCAGGGGCACGACGTGCTTGCAATTGATCATAGACAGGCGCAGGTGCAGATGATGATGGGAAAGGCTACTCACGCGCTCGCGGGGGATGCGACGAATGACCTGGTTCTGCGCGAACTCGGTCTTCATGAGTTCGATGTCGCAATCGTCGCGATCGGGTCGGACCTCGTTGCCAGCGTGATGGTGACGGTGATGCTGAAAGATATGGGCGTAGGGCATATCGTTGCGCGCGCCAAGGACCAACTGCACGCCAACACGCTGGAAAGACTTGGCGTGAACAAGGTTGTGCAGGTCGAGTCGGAAATGGGTGCTCGATTGGCGCATTCGCTCTTCCACCCCGACGTACAGGAATACATGGAGATTCTGCCCAATTTCGGCATCAGCAAGATGAAAGTGCCTGCACGGTACGCCGAGTTCGCCATCGATGAGTTGCCGGGATTTGACAATCCACGCGATGCCAGCCAGGCTGTGCTGGCTATCTCGCGAGGCCGGAATATCACCTTGAAGCCCGAAGGCAAAGATCGTCTGCGCGCAAACGACTGGCTCGTCCTCGCCGCAGATAACGACCTTCTCGACAATCTTGCAACCTAGCTCGACCTCGCAGCAAACTGCGCACCAACGGGGAGAAAGAATCACGGATATGACGAGAAGGCTGGCTTATCTGGGACCGCAGGGCACCTATTCAGAAGAGGCGGCTTTGCTATATGACAGCGAAGCCGAATTGGTGCCCGCAGCGACTCTGCCTGCCGTAATTGACATTGTCCATGCAGGTGAAGCTGACGAGGGAATCGTTCCGATCGAGAACAGCCTGGAAGGCGCAGTGACTTTCACCGCGGACCTGCTCATACACGAGTCCCGTCTAAAGATTAAGAGCGAACTCGTACTTCCTATTCACCACTGCCTTATGGCAAAGTCAGGGACTGACATTGACGAAGTCGAGGTAGTGTACTCGCATCCCCAATCCTTGGGTCAATGCCGAGACTACCTGCGACGGCGCTTCCCGGACGCTACACCTATGCCGTCACTGAGCAATTCTGCGGCCGTGGGGGACATGATTCAGAGCGATAGGAGTGCGGTGGCGATCGCGGGGAAGAGGGCAGCATCTTTTTTCGATGTGCAGATATTGGAGGAGCGAGTAGAGGACAACCACAGCAATGCGACTCGCTTCATCGTTTTGTCATCGCAGGACAGCATACCCACGGGGAGAGACAAGACCTCATTATGCTTCAACTTCGATGTTGACAGGCCCGGGAGCTTGGTTGGCGTGCTGCTGGAGTTTTCCAAGCGAGGAATAAATCTGAACAAGATAGAATCGCGTCCGACGAGAAGAAGTCTGGGCAGGTACTTTTTTCCTGGCTGACATCGATGGACACTGCGACGACGAAGATGTTCGCAATGCGCTTGAGGCGATTGGCGGGATGGTATCAATGTTGAAGGTGCTTGGATCTTACCCCAGGCATACTCAGAGCGAGTAATCTGGAGTACCCGACGTTTCGATTGCTCCCAAGCAGTGTGCTACGAAGATGAGAACAGCCCCCGCCTTCTAAATTGAGGAGGCGGGGGCTGTTGATCTGAACCGGGTCGTAACTGGTTGCAGGGCTATTAGGCGTTTTCTTGCCTTGCTTGCTCGTCGGCGGTCGAAGTATCTTCGCCGCCGTCGTTGTTGCGGCTGATGCGGGCGCTAACCTGTTCCACCATCGGAGTGACGCGCTCCTTCGCCTGTGTTCTAGCCTGCGCCGCAATCTCCTCTGCGCGAGCGCGCATCGCAATGCTGCGTTCCAGCAGATCGCTGCGTGTCTCCGAACCCTTCTTCGGCGCCAGTAATAACGCCACCAATGCTCCAACTAACCCACCGAGTATGACGCCGAGCGCAAACCCGCCGCCACTGTTGTTTTCCGCCATTTTTTCACTCTCCCTTTCTCTGTTTTCTAGAGCCTCTTAAGAATGCAATTACCTTTCCAAGACTGAAGGCAAATCCGGAGCCTGATGAGGCTGGTCGTACAATGTTTTCAGACACCGTATTTACGATCTCCTCAGTATTGTCCAAGATGCGCCCAGCAGAGTTCAAGGCTTGTGAAACCTTTCTATAGATGGAAAAAACGAATATCAGGATGACGAGAACTATGGCTAGTACCAGCAAGTCTCGTACGAAACCTACATAGAAGGCTATGTCCTGCAATATATCCGGAACCATTAACGAGGTCTCCTGTTACCGTATATCAATCGTAGCACGGCCTTGGCAACTACGGCAAATAGATGTACTAATTTAACAAGCTCCCAGGGGCTGGTTCAGAAGGCTGCGGAGCCCGGGATTGGCGACTGAATGATTGAACGTAAGGGCTACGCGACGGGCACCGCTTTGCGTCTATGAGGAGTGTCAGAGAATAGTCGGTGGTAGGCTCTTCATCTGGCAGCAGAAGGCGAGCGACCTCGTTACTGATCGCTCGCCCTATTTCTGATCTGGAGCGTCGCTTGTCCGCGAGATTCAGGCTATGGCTTTATCAGCATCCTTACGAATCCCGCATCGTCGTTTCGCTGTGTGAGAATGCTGTGATTTCGCTTCTCTGCCCAGACAATAACATCGTAAGTGTTAAGAACATCCGGTATCAGCACTTCGACGAAGGACTGATCGTCAGTGTCTATGTGCTCTGTCAGGGCTGCAATAATGCCGGCGCATGTCTTGCCAGTGCCGTCGATGACCACCCAGTCGTTGCCGCCGCTTCCGTTAGTTGAGCCGTTAGCAGTGGGCGCGGTGGCGTAAACATCCACATCTCCGCTCAGGCGCATGTCCAACTGCCTCTTGAACTCTGCGACAGGCTCCCAGTGCACGCTGGATGTCCGATCATCCAACTTCTGGCATGCCGCGCCACGCACTCCCACGATGTCCGGGTTGATTCGAGCGAGTTCGTCGAGGTCGCTGATGCGCAGGTGCCCGGAAAGTGCTGTGCTCATGCCGGCTTCTTTGCCCTCGAAGACCATGTCGCGAAGCTCCTCTTCGCGTACGAAGTCGAAGAGATTACGCCCGTCCTTAGTCAAGGTGTCTATCAGCCAGCCATCGCACTTCGTCTCTTTCGCGAGCTTATTCATGTGGTGCGGCTCGAGGCCGCCGAACAGCGAGTTGTCAGCGAAAAGTGAGCCGATGAGCTTTGTCTCGAAGCCATCGAGGGCTTCGCGGCAAGCATGAAGTGTCTCTTCGGCGAGGGCGTACTCATGGTCCATGAAGCCAACCTTGACAGATGTGGCCTGAAGGACGCCTGCCGTATAGACCGCCATGGCGACAGTGCCGACCTGATGCGGGACGACGCCAAGTGTAATGCTTGCGTGGCGCTCCATAGGAATGGCGTTACGCACGTCTCGGACGATGTGCGGATGCGCGGAGCCAACCAGAGCTTCCTGCAAGTTCTTTACGTCAATTATGTCAGCGCCGCCCTTGAGTGCCTGCAACGCCTCTTCCAAGTTCTGAACGCTCACCATCAATATCATAGCGAGTACCTTCCTTGAATCTATTTTCTAAATCTGTGAAAGTGCCGCCTCAACGTCCGACTTCAGTTCTGCCTTCTCATCGTTCGTGAGGTTGATGTGCGGCTGCCTGACATGCCCACCGGCCATTCCCATGACCTCCCCCCAATACTTGCACATTGGAGCGGGTAGGGCGCCATTAGCCCTCTGCACGGTGCTCGCCCACCACTTGTCGGATACCGCCTTGATGGGGCGAACATGCTTCGCGTAGAAGTCATCATCCAGGTCGCCGCGCATCGCCTTGTCGATGAACTGGTTATAGTAGTTCTTGCCGGGCAAGTCGAAGCGCCAGTCGGAGGTATTGGCAAACATTACCTGCTGCTCAAAGCCAAGTTCCCTGCCCTTGAACATTATCCACTCATCGGGCGTGCTGATGATGGCATCCCGTCCCAGAAGTTGATGTGCCTCAATGGACAGTTCCTGATTGAAGCTCGCCTCCTTTACGCCAACCACATTGGGTATGGCGCAAATCTGCTGCAATCCCTGCGCGCTCATCACGATGCCGAACTGCGGCGAGTTGTAGTACATGATGGCGAGGTTCGTATTGTCCGCGAGTACCTTCATCCAGTCCACGACCTGCTCTTCGGTCTTTGTTACGAAGTAGGGCGCGGCGCAGATGAGCAGGTCGAATCCGATTTCCTCGGCATGCTCAGCAAGCGCAATCATGTCCTTGTATGAAGTGTGCGTCACGTGGGCTGCGATTGGCCATTCGCCGCCTGCTTCGTCCGCGACGACATCGAAGACGCGCATTCGCTCTTCAAGAGTCAGGCTCCAGAACTCGCCCATTCCCCAGGTACAGCCCGCGCCCTGCGTTCCTAGCGCCCGTACATGTTGTATGTTTTTGCGCATCCCTTCTTCGTCGAACTCATCATCTGGAGTAAAGGGAGTCATAAGGGTCGTCCACTGGCCGCGCAGGTTTTCCCGCGCCCAGCTCAGTGCTTCGCTCTTGGTATATTCGGCCATGTTTTGCCTCCTAGGTCGCAGCCGCGAATCTGGGAAATGTCGCTCAACGTGCTGCACTAAGTGTGTCGGTCATTCGACTGTCAGTATGTGAGGTTTGAGTGGCATCTTAGAAGAGCGGCAATCCTCACTGCAGTCTTAAACAGGCTAGCTACAAAGGTCCGCCTTTCGGTCAGTTTAGTATAACCGAGATACCCAACCGATTACAGATGAAACAGTTCTCTGGCAGCGCGAATTTGGGACTTCGTTGCGCCGTTCTTCAATGAATCGGTGGGGTCGTGCAGTATCTTGTTCACTATGGAGCGCGTGAGTGTATCCACTACTCGTTTGTCCTCGGGGGACAGATCGTTCAGCATGTCGATTGCCTTGGCGAGTTCCCTTTGCCGGACATCCTCGGCCTGCTGTCGGATCGCCTTAATTGTGGGGAGCACGTCTAGCGAGTCCCACCAAATCATGAACTTGGCGACCTCTTCGTCTATGATGAGTTTGGCGTCTGTTGCTGATCGGCGACGTTCTGCCATGTTTTCTTCGGCGATCGCCGACAGGTCGTCGATGTTGAACAGCCTGACACCATCTTCGCTGGCGACTTCAGGGTCTATGTCACGCGGAATTGCGAGGTCGAAAGCAAACAGTGGCGCTTCGCCCGGCATCCGGTGGAGTGAGTCCGACATTGCGGAGGTAATGATGTAATTCGGCGAGTCGGTCGCCGCTATCACGATGTCTGCGACTTTGAGCGAGTCGTCCAATCGCTCGAATGGCACGACTCTGCTGCTGAGATAGCCTGCTAGCTCCTTTGCCTTGCTCTCCGTGCGATTGGCAATCATCAGGTCGCCCACACCGACAGTGCGGAGCGCTCTAGCGACCAAACTGCCAGCCTCGCCCGCGCCAATCAGCAGCGCTCGCTTGTCGGAGAGATCGCCGAGGACGCGCTGCGCCAGCCTTACGCCCGCGTAGCTGATGGAGAGCGGATTGCGACCGATGTTCGTCTCTTGCCGTACGCGCCTGCCTACTCTCATTGCGGAGTGGAACAGACCGACGCACGTCATTTTCGCAGATTTCGCTTCGGTCGCCGCGCTGAGCGCACCGCGAACCTGGCCCAATATCTGCGACTCGCCGACAATCATGGAGTCCAAGCCGCTGGATACGCCGAACAGGTGCTGCACGGCATCAGATCCGGTTCGGGTGTACAAGTGCGGCGCGATACTGTCGGCAGGAAGGTCATGGTATTTTGCGACGAATTCGTGGATGCGTCCATTGGCTGCCGGCGCATCGTCAGTAACCGTGTAAATCTCCGAGCGGTTGCACGTCGAAAGAATTACGGCTTCTCCAAGTTCTTCCTTAAGCACGGGAAGAGCTTCCAAAATCTGACTGCTCAGGAAGGACACCGATTCACGGACTTCGAGAGGCGCACTCTTGTGGCTTAACCCAACTAGCAGAATCTCTTGCAAGACCAATTAGCCCTTCATTAGTTGCTTGTAGTGTGTACGCAGGCAGCGGGTGCAGATTCGCAACTTCTTCGCTGTGCCGTCAACTGACACCGTAGCCTTCTGTACATTGGGGAGCCACCGCGTGCGGGTGCGCCGCTTGGAGTGGCTGACATTGTTACCAGACTGTCCCGTCTTATGGCACACTTCGCATACTGCCATATTTCACCTTTACTAATTCCAATTGGTTGAGTAAAATCAACCCGACCCAAGCACACGCCCAACCTTGCAAGCGCACAGAGGCACATACGGGCGGGTGCCTGTGAATTTGTACACAAAGATAGCATATCTGGCTAGAAACGGCAACGATAATGAGTGACGAACTTGCCAATGAACTTGCTAATATTGAACTTTCCCCTTCGTGGTCGGGCGATCGCTGCTCGCTATGTTCACTGCCGGCGCCCAAGTGCTCGAAAGCCATGTAAATCTGGTCAATCGCCTGAATGTGTTCCCGGTGCAGGACGGAGATACCGGCATTAATATGCTGCTCACCCTGCGGGACACGCTTGCCGAGGCGCGCTCAGCCGAAGGAGACGCTGCCGACGCGATCGCGAAAAGCGATGTGGGACGGGGCGTGCATGGGGGCGAAGGGCAATGGCGGTTCCATAGTATCCCAGCTCTTCAAAGGTATGTCCGAGGCGTTCCACGGAAAAAATGCTGTCAGTTCGCACGACTTTGCCGCAGCGCTCCGTCTCGCTAGAGCGCATGCCTATAATGCCATCGGCAATCCGGTCGAAGGCACTATGCTGACGGTGTTCACCTACGCAGCAGACGCCGCAGTGAAGAGCGCTGAAGTCGGCAGCGGTGCGGATGATATGCTGACGAGCGTCAGCGATGCGGCGCGGGAAGCCGTCATAATTACGCCCACTTTGCTGCCCAGACTTCAGGAGGCGGGCGTAGTCGATTCGGGCGGCCTGGGGCTGTGGATGATTCTTGAAGGCGTTCGGCGCTGGGTGGCGGGCGATGACACGAGCCCTGATGAGTTGGACATGCCGCTTCCCGAGGGCATTGACGTGTCGGAGTCGGGCGTCTCGCTTGAGTTTCTTGACCTCACTGAAGACGAAGAGTACGGAAACTGCACACAATTCGTCATTCGAGGCGAGGGACTGGATGTTGACGGTGTGCGGGTGGAGATGAGCACTCGCGGCCGCTCTGCAGTCGTTATTGGCGACGCGTCTCTCGTGAAAGTGCATGTGCATACCGAGGTTCCTGACGAGATTTTGGAATATGCGCGCGCGTTGGGCAGCGTGAGCCGTGTCAGTGTGGAGAACATGGACGAGCAGCGCGAACGGCTTGCTGCGAAGCAGCGCCAGCAGGCTGAGGACGCTCTCGCACAGGTCATACCGATTCCCGTCCTTGCGGTGGCGTGGGGCGACGGACTGGAGGCGGTATTCCGACACGAAGGCGCTTCGGTACATGGTCGCAGGCGATACTATGAATCCAAGCGTGCGCGAGATACTGGACGCTGTGGACGCCGTGCCATCGGAGAATGTCATCATCTTGCCGAATAACGGCAACATCGTCCCTGCCGCTCAGCAGGCCGCAGAAGCCGCCGATAAGACTGTCAGAGTTGTGCCAACCACAACCATTCCACAGGGTGTCGCCGCAATTCTGGAGTTTCAGCCGTACAGGAGTCTTGACGAAAACTCAGCAGAAATGGAAGACGTAATTCAAGATGTACGGACCGGCGAAATCACGCGCGCCGCACGCTCCGTCACCCTGGATGGTGTTACCGCAGAGGAAGGCCAACTCATAGGGCTGTTCGAGCGGCAGATGGTTGCGGCCGGCGAAGGACTCACGGAAACGACACTTTCCATACTGAGAAGCGCCGATGTCGGAGACGGCGACCTGGTTACTCTCTATCGCGGCGACCCGATAACCGAAGCAGAGGCGAACGATGTCGTCGCAGAGGTGCAGTCGGCATTCCCATCGATTGACTTGCAACACTATTATGGCGGGCAACCGTTCTATCATTTCATACTTTCAATCGAGTAGGTGAGTGAGTCAAAATGAGCGTAAAAGTAGTTACCGACAGCAGTTCTGATATGCCGCGCGAGGTCGCGGAGCAGTATGGCATCAGCGTCATTCCACAGAAAGTCATATTTGGCACCGAGGAGCTACGCGGTGGGGTGGACATAACCGCCGATGAATTCTATCGGCGTATCGCGAACAGCGCCACGCTGCCCACCACTTCACAGGCATCCCCGGGTGAGTTCAGGGAGTTGTACGAATCCATCGCGGCAGATGCGGACGGAATCGTTTCTGTGCATGTCTCCGGCGCGCTCAGTGGCACGGTCAACTCCGCGCGATCAGGCGGCGATGAGGCGGATATAAGCTGCAGCGTAGAAGTGGTTGACTCGATGCAGGCTGGCATGGGCACGGGCTTGGTCGCTATCGCCGCGGCAAGGGCTGCGCGAGACGGCGGCAACTTGCAGCAGGTGGTCAGCGCTGCCGAGGATGCTATCAGTCGGTGCGAGACCTATGTGCTGCTTGATACACTTGAATACCTCCAGAAAGGCGGCAGGGTAGGCAAGGCAAGGGCGATGCTTGCTACTTTGCTGAGCATCAAGCCCATGATTATCATAAGGGACGGTGTGGTTGACGAACTGGGCAAGGAGCGAACCCACAGGAAGGGCATGGCTCGGCTGCGGCGCGTAACCGAAGGCTTTGCGCCGCTCGAGGAACTGTGTGTCAACTACACCACTACGCCAGACGAGGCGCGCGCATTCGGAGGAGAACTCCAATCCCTCTTGCCGGAGGGCAAGCAGCCTCTCCTGGCGCAGATAGGTCCTGCCGTAGGGACATACACTGGACCTTCCGCTATCGGTGTATCCTTGCTGCGTGCCCACGTCGGCTAAGCCTGTTCGACTTAGCTCTGTCTGGTTGCCAAAAGCTCCAGATTGATGGGCTGCTGCCGCGTTTCGCATGCGCCCAATGTGCGCTACAATTCAAGCATGAATAGCTCGGACGGCAACGCCAGACTGCAAACACTGGCGAACATTCTGCGCCTTGAACAGCGCAAAGACTTCCACGACGAAGCTGTGATTGGCGGCTTGGACGCTTTCCTTCAGCGCTGGGGCGATGACCTGGGGTCGTCGGCAATATTGCCAGCGCGTTATGCAGAAATGAGCGTAGCGCAGCGCCGCCGATGGGCTGAAGACACGCTAACGAGAATCGGCTCAGAGAGGTCGGCGCCCCCCGCTCCCCAATCAACTTCCTCTGTGAAAGAACAAACGTCGCGCCAACCTGTAGCGGCATCCGGTCGTTCCACCGCTCCCGCGCCGAAGTCTATTGCTCAGGACAAGCCTGCACAGCCCAAGAGTCGCCGCGTCCCGCCGCGCAAGGCGTCTGACGGGCGAAAAACTGCCGCCAAGGCAACACCTGTCAGACTGAACGATGATGTCGCGCAGCTTAGCAGCGTCAATTCCCGCACGAAGTCAAGGCTGAAGGTACTGGGCATCGAGACCGTAGAAGACTTGGTATTCCACTTCCCGCATCGGCACGACGACTTCACCAGCATTCGCACCATATCGCAGCTCGTGCCCGGCGAGACGCAGACTGTTGTAGCGGAAATTGGGAAGTGTCGGAAACAGGACGCGGGCGCGTAAAGAATGCTCAGGCGGTGCTGGGAGACCAGACAGGCAACATCAGGGTAATCTGGTTCAACCAGGCGTACCTTGTTAAGACGCTAAAGCCCGGTACGCGCATTGTCATCAGCGGAGAGGCGAAGGTGTATCGCGGGCGGATTGTGTTTCAGTCGCCCGAGTACGACTTCTTCGATGAGCGAGATGGGTCTATGCACGCCGGGCGGCTCGTCCCCATCTATCCCCTGACGGAAGGGCTGTACCAGCGCACAATACGCCGCGCTGTCCGGCAGGCGCTGGATGCCACACTTTCTCAAGTGCGAGAGTATTTGCCGGAAGAGACGCGCCGCCTGTACGACCTGATGCCCCTTCAAGACGCCATACGGCAGATGCACTATCCGGATGCGCCTGAACGCGTCGAGGCAGCGCGGCGGCGTCTCGCATTCGACGAACTGCTGATGCTGCAACTCGCGGTTGCCCGTCGCAGGATAGAGTGGCAATCGTCAGGCGGCGCAGTTCGGCTGAATGCTGAGGATGGTCGCCTCGGTGGGTTCCTTGATTCCCTCCCTTACGCGCTTACCAATGCACAGCGGCGGTCCCTCGATGAGATACTGCAGGATATGCAGCGCGAAATCCCGATGAGCAGGCTGCTGCAGGGAGATGTGGGCAGTGGCAAGACGGTCGTGGCAACCGCCGCTCTGCTCGTTGCGGCGCTGAACGGCCGACAGGCGGCGTTAATGGCTCCCACGGAGATTCTCTCCGAGCAGCACTTTCTTACGATTGCCAAGATGTTCTCTGACGGGGCTGCCCCGATATCTTCGGAACCCTACTTCACGGCTTTTCTGCCGACTGATGACAGGCAGCTCACTATATGCCTGCTGACAGGCAGTCTGCGAAAGCGCGCGAAAGATGAAATGCACAGGCGCATCGCAGACGGCGAAGTGGATATCATCATCGGCACTCAGGCGCTGATACAGGAATCGGTGGACATTCCGAGGCTCGCGCTGGTGGTGGTCGATGAGCAGCATCGCTTTGGCGTAATGCAGCGAATGAACCTGCGTGACAGGGGCGGCACGCCGCACATGCTTGCCATGTCGGCGACGCCAATACCGCGCTCCGTGCGCCTGACGATGCTGGGCGACCTTGAGCTGTCCACCATCGACGAGATGCCCCGGGACGTCAGCAGATTCGCACCCGCTGGGTCGAGCCGAATCAGCGCGACAACGCATACGCAATCGTTCGGCAGGAGGTCAAGGCAGGCAGGCAGGCTTTCATCATCTGCCCGCTCATCGAGGAATCGGAGCGATTCAAGCGCGCGCGGCGACAGAGGAGTACGAGCGCCTGTCCAAGTTGGTGTTCAGCGACTTGAGGCTAGGATTGCTGCACGGGCGGATAAGCCAGGATGAGCGCGAGAGCGTAATGCGCGGATTTCAACTAGGTGAGATTGACATTCTCGTGGCAACTTCCGTTATTGAGGTGGGTATCGACATCCCGAACGCTACTATTATGCTGATAGACGGCGCAGACAGATTTGGGCTGGCGCAACTCCATCAGTTCAGAGGGCGCGTTGGCAGGGGCGAGCATCCCAGCCAGTGTCTGCTGCTGTCCGACAGCCCGGGCGTGTCCGCCCATGAACGAATTCGCATTCTGGAGCGCACGATGGACGGCTTTGAGATTGCGGAGGAAGACCTGCGATACGGGGCGCCGGCGAGTACATGGGAACGCGCCAGAGCGGCATGAACGACCTGAAAGTGGCGCGCCTTACAGACCTTGACATCATGCAGATGGCGCGGCAGGAGGCCCACGGTTGCTTGCCGCCGATCCAGAACTGACGAGCGAGGCGCACACCGCGATTGCTGAACGCTTCGACAGGTACAGGGCGCAGCGGCCACTGGAAATTAGCTGATGCCGTGGCTTTGCCCGACAACTCAGGTCTAGCATGGAGCTACATGTCTCTTTGCCGACGAATGTTCCGCCGCGCGATTGACAATTGTTATGGCTATTCATATATTGTCAGCATTGTTCTACTACTTCTCTAAAACAAACGAACAGTTCGGCAACAGTCGCGACAGGAGGAATGATGGCAAAAATAAAGCATATAGCAATTTCATCGCAGCAACCCGACAAGACCGCGAAGTTCTACAAGGAAGTTCTTGGACTTGAAGAGGTGGGCAAGGTTACAAGCGCCAACGCGGATGGGTACTACCTCAGCGACGGCAATGTGAATATCGCAATCCTGAAGTTCAAGAGTGATGTTGTCAGCGGGGACTTTGATGTGGAGTACAGCGGCATACATCACATTGGGTTCCAGGTCGATGACGCAGCGGAAGCAGACGCTCGAATGAAGGCGGCAGACGCCTATCCTATGGACGATGTGAACGAGGCGCTGCACGGCGGAATGGGCGCCCCCAGCATGGGCGCAATGTGGAGACGAAGTACGGCGGACCGGACGGCGTGATGATCGACATCTCGCAGGGCGGATGGTCGGAACCGATACCGAGTAGGACGACTGAATAATTCAGACTGATGACGGCCAAAAAGTTAGGGGCAGCCGTACCACGGTTGCCCCTAATATATTCAGGCCATTTTACCTATGGAAAAGGTTAAGAGCCGAGCCGAGCCTGAACCATTCTAGCTGTGATTCGCCGAATGTGTGGTTGAGTTGCAAGGTTTCGCTTGTGCCGTCCGAGTGGGATACAACGCAGTCCACCGGCTTACCGGGCGCTAGATCCGCCAGTCCGACGAGACTGATGCGGTCGTCCTCGCGTATCTTGTCGTAGTCAGCCGTGTCCTGAAATGTGAGCGCAAGTAGCCCCTGCTTCTTCAGGTTGGACTCGTGGATGCGGGCAAAACTGCGCGCGATCACCGCTGTGCCGCCAAGCAGCCTGGGAGACAACGCGGCATGCTCGCGGCTGCTGCCCTCGCCGTAGTTGTCGTCGCCGACAACGACCCACTTGACGCCCTGCGACTGGTAGTTGCGCGCCGTAGCCGAGATTGCCCTGCCTTCTTCACCTGTGAGGATGTTCTTTCCCGTGCCAGCGTCGCCGGTGTAGGCGTTGGTCGCGCCCATGAACATGTTGTCGCTGAACTTGTCGAGATGTCCGCGGTAGCGCAGCCAAGGACCGGCAGGAGATATGTGGTCGGTCGTCGTCTTGCCTTGCGTCTTCATCAGCACCGGCATGTCGGTGAAGTCATTTCCTTCCCAGGCAGGCCAAGGCTTCATCAATTGGATGCGCTCGCTGTTGGGGTCAACGGCAAGTTCGATGTCGCTGCTGTCCGCGGGCGGTGGCTCATAGACGGAAGCGCCGCTTGCGAAGTTCTGTTCAGGCACTTCGGGCGCAGCACTGGGCGGGCTCGAACATGAACTCGTTGCCCTCGCTGTCCTTAAGAGTATCGGTGAGGGGGTTGAATGAGAGGGTTCCGGCGATTGCCATAGCCGTTACGATTTCAGGGCTGGCGATGAAGTTCATCGTGGTTGGGGTGCCGTCATTGCGGCGCGGGAAGTTGCGGTTATAGGAAGTGACGATGGTGTTCGGTTGTGAATTCGCCTCGTTGGATCGTCGCCACTGACCGATGCAGGGACCACAGGCATTTGCAAGCACGGTGCCATTGATGTCGAGCAGGGATGCCATCTGCCCGTCGCGTTCAATGGTTGCGCGAACCTGCTCGGAGCCTGGCGTCACCATGAACGGCACGGCAGTTGCGACGCCCCTGGCTTTCGCCTGCTCCGCGACGTCGGCAGCGCGGCTCATATCCTCGTATGACGAATTAGTGCAGCTTCCGATGAGTGCACTAGAAATGGCGTCCACGAACTGGTTGCTGCTGTCGGCGACCTCCGCTGCAAGCTGTGATATGGGGCGAGCGCGGTCAGGGGAGTGCGGACCTACCATGTGCGGCTCAAGTGTCGACAAGTCGAGGCGCACGACGCGATCGTAATGTGCTTCGGGGTTTGCCTCCACTTCGGCGTCAGGCTCTAGCAGGTGCTTGTTTGCCTCTGCGTGAGGTACGATGCCGCCTCGGTCGGTCGCCCTCAGGTATGCGCCCATATGGTCGTCATAGGGGAACATCGAAGTTGTCGCGCCAATCTCGGCGCCCATGTTCGTAATTGTCGCCTTGCCGGTTGCGCTAATGGTGCGCGCGCCGGGGCCGATGTACTCCACGATGGCGTTTCGTGCCGCCGGAGACGGTCAGCTCGCCCGCGACATACAGGATGATGTCCTTTGGCGCAGTCCAGCCGCTCATCTCGCCGGTGAGATATACGGCGATGTGGCGCGGGTAGAGAACTTCCCAAGGGAGACCTGCCATCACTTCAACCGCATCCGCGCCGCCAACGCCGACGGAGCAAGACCCAAGACCGCCACCGTTCGGCGTGTGCGAGTCAGTGCCAATCATCAGCGAGCCGGGGAAGGCGTAGTTTTCGAGCGCGACCTGGTGGATGATGCCGCCACCGGGGCCCCAGAATCCCGCGCCGAACTTTGCGGCCGCGGAGCGCAGGAAGTTATAGACCTCGCTGTTTTCGTCGAGCGACTCGCGCAGGTCGGCTGCGCCCTCGACGCGTGCCTGAATGAGATGGTCACAGTGGATGGTTGTCGGGACGGCCACAGATTCGCGCTGAGTCTGCATGAACTGGAGCATTCCAGTCTGGCCGAGCACATCCTGCAGTATCACGCGGTCCGGTCGACACATTCAGGTAGCTCGCGCCCGGAATCATCTCCTGATTCTCAGGGTCGTCGAGGTGTCCGAGCAGCACCTTGTCGGCGAGTGTGAGCGGCCTGTTGAGTCGCCGTCGCACGACTTCGAGAGTTTGCTCGATAGTCTCATAGACTTTCGCTGCCATATCCGGCGTAGTTTCAATGGTCACCATATTGATGCTGCCCTCCCAATATCAACGAGTTGATTAAGCAGTTGCACGTGCGCTCGTTCGCAGTGCAAATGAAGCAATGGCATTGTCGGTTATCCGGACAATGCCATTGACGATGGTCTGAATTTGAGCCAATCGCCTTGAGCGTGGCAAGCCGGACCCAATTATATGAGCCGGAATCCGCTATCGCGACAGACCGAAGTATTCGTAATTGATGTCGATGAAGTTGCGCCACTCTTCGGGAACGTCGTCCTCGGCGAATATGGCGACAACAGGGCATACAGGCTCGCATGCCGCGCAGTCAATGCACTCGTCGGGATGGATGTAATACTGGTTGTCCTCGTCTTCGGTGTAGATGCAGTCCACAGGGCAGACGTCCACGCAGGCACTGTCCTTCAGGTCAATACAAGGTTCGGCTATGATATAGGTCATTCTACGAATCCCTCCTGCTTTCTCGCTGATGTCAGCCAACGGCTGTCCGACGGCTGCAACTATTCCTGAATTATAAATCGCTAATGGTTGTCTTTCAACTAATACGCAGGTTAATCGGTCGGTCGGTTATTGGCAAATCCGTGCCTCAGCGAGTAATGCCGAGTTCGCGCAGTTCCCGAATCTGCTTGGGAGCGTAGCCGTACTGGGTCAGCACGCTGTCTGTATGTTCGCCGAGGGCAGGGGAGGCGATGGTTGGCTCAAGGGGAGTTTCACTCATTTTCAGCATAGGGCCTACCATCTTCACCTTGCCGACAACCGAGTGCTCAAGTTCCAGGACGAGGCCGTTGGACACCACCTGCTCATCATTGACCAACTCCTCAACGAAGCGCACGGGTCCTGCAGGTACTCCCGCCGCGTCTAGTGTTTCAAGCCATTCGGACACAGTGCACTGCCTGAACAATTCCTCTGCCTGCGCTGTCAGCTTCTCGTAGAAGGCAAGAGACTCTTCACTGTACATGTCGTAGTCCGGCTCAAATCGTATATCGCGAGTCCGAGCACATCTATGAGGCGCTTGCGAAGCGGGTCGCTCAGGCAGCCTACCGCCAGAACACCGTCGGCAGCCTGATATGTACGGTAGTACACCTGCAAGGAAGACGCGCGCCGTCGGTCAAAGTGTTCCCGATAGAAGCTGTGCATGTCCTCGTAAGGTACACCTGCTTCCTGCATCACCTTCAGACTTTCGTAGAACTCGGCACGGCTTTCGCTGTCGGTGCGCTCGACCTCCATGAATCGCATTGATTGGACGGCAAGCGCCGAGCCCAGCAAGGTGGTCTCAATCTTCTGCCCCTTGCCGCTGCGCTCCCTGTGAAACAGCGCGGCGCAAACAGACCATGCTGCGGCAAGAGCCGTTGAGAAGTCGGCAACGGGCGTGGAAGTAACCTGCTGCGGCACTCCGTTATTTATCTTGTCCTCTGATGCCAGTATGCCGGTCATCGCCTGCGCTATGATGTCGTATCCTGGCCGTTGGCTGTGGGGCCCGTTGCGCCCGAAGGCGGTGTTCTCGCAGTAGATGAGACGCGGGTTTATCGCGGAGAGCGTCTCGTAATCGATGCCCAGGTTGTACGGCACGTCGGGGCGATAGTTGATAATGACCGCATCCATGTGAGGAACTAGACGATAGACCACATCACGCCCCTCTTGCTTAGTCAGGTCAAGGGGTAGGCTGCGCTTGCCGCGATTGAGGCTCATGAAGGTCTTGCTCTCGCCCGGCTCTATCGGAAAAGCGTGCCGCCAGGGGTCTCCCCACGGCGGTTCAACCTTGATGACATCCGCACCCATGTCCGCGAGCAGCATGCCGCCGAAAGGTCCCGCGATGATCTCCGTGAACTCCAGAATCTTGATTCCGTCCAATGCGCCCGGCATTTTCTGCCCTCCGCTACTGTATGCCTGTCTGTTTGCGCTTTGATAGTACAATACATTAGCCTCAAATTGCACAGATTGGACGAGATGAGACGAAGAAAGGATACATAACCACATGACGAAAGTTCTAATTACGGGTATGAGCGGCCTCATAGGTGGCCTGCTGCGGAATCGCCTGGAGGCGACTGGTGGATATGAACTGAGCGCGCTTAACCGCAGCGAGTTGAGGGCGTTGAGTGTTACCGCGTGGACATCGCAGACTTTGACGCGGTTAGAGCAGCTTTCGAGGGCAAGGATGTGGTCGTGCATCTTGCAGCGTATCTTGGCAGCGACGACTTCGAAGGTCAGCTTCGGGGAAACATCGTGGGCACCTATAACGTGTTCGAGGCGGCGCGGCTCGCGGGCGTCAAGCGTGTGGTGTTCGCCAGCAGCGGCAACGCTATCCGTGGATTTGAGCGAGTTGAGCCGTACAGGTCGGTCGCCGCAGGCGAATATGAGGGCGAGCCAGGGGACTTTCCGCCCATTACGCACGAGATGATACGACCGGAGGGCATTTACGGTGCGGCGAAGGTGTTCGGTGAGGCGCTGGGGCGCTACTACTCGGATGCCTACGGGCTTTCCGTGCTCTGCGTGCGGATCGGTCGCGTTACAAGGGACAACAAGCTGGGTGCTATACGCGATCGCTCCATTTATCTGAGCCACGACGACGTGGCGCAGATACTGCACCTATGCGTGGACGCTCCCGACAGCCTGAATTACGATGTCTTCCTTGCGACTTCCAACAACAAGTGGAATTACCGCGACTTGGAGCATCCGCGAGATGTGCTGGGGTACGAGCCGAAAGACTCGGCTGAGGACCTCTACTAGGTAGGCGGCGCACTTTGGGCAGGTATTCATTTACTGCGCTTCGCGCTCCGGCGGAGTCTGTTGAGCGGCGGACTTGGCAGGGTGTGCTTCTGAGGAGGCATCTATGACTATGGCAAAGTTGACCACATCGCGTGTAACCACCATTGCGGCTGACAATGCAAAGTCTGCTGCTGAAAGTGATGTCGGCGGTGCGGCGGCTGTTGCAGCCGCAAATACTTTTATTGAAATGCTTACCGGTGCGCAACGCGCGCAGGCTATGCACGCTATCGATGATCCCGTGCGTCCAAACTGGTCGAACCTGCCGTCAGGCATTTTAGACTTTGATCGAAATGGCGTGCGAATAGGCGACCTGGACGACAGGCGGGTTGCCGCTATGTTCGCGTTCCTGGCATCTGCGCTCAGTTCGGACGGATACGGCACTGTCGTTGATGTGGTAGGCGCTGATGAGGTGCTTTCACATTCAGAGCGCGCGGGACACTTCGCGTGGACGGACGAAAACTACTGGCTCGCATTCTTCGGAGAGCCGTCAGAATCTGAGAAGTGGGGCTGGCAGTTTGGCGGGCATCACCTCGCAGTGAATGTCAATCTGGCCGGCGGCAGAAGTTACCTGTCGCCTACTTTCGTTGGTGTTGAACCGGCTTCGTATGTGGCAGGCGATGCTACGGTAGCTCCCTTGGCGCCGAAACTGGAGGCGGGCATTGAGCTAATCAACGCGATTGGCGAACGGCAGCGTACACTGGCGATGGTAAGCGATCGACCTGTTGAAGTCTGGACGGGTGCAGGGAATGACGGCTTCGTGCCTGATCCCGAAGGCTCGAAGGTTGCTGAATGGAGCGATGCGCAGCGACAGATGCTTGTCGGTACCATCGCTCTGTGGATAGGCATGCTGGATGAGGCAAGCGGCAGGGCAACGATGGCTGAAATCGAGCCGCAATTGGACGACGTGCGCTTCGCCTGGCATGGTGGTTTCGATGGGAGCGGGGACATCTACTATCGCATTCAGGGGCCTGCGCTCGTCATCGAGTTCTCCACTCAAGGCGGTGTTGGGGCTGACACCGGACACTTCCACTCGATCTATCGCGATCCGACCAACGAGTACGGCGTCAATACGGGAATGCCTTAATCTTGGGTGACTGCTCCAGAGTCGCCTGTCACGGACGAATCTCCGTATGCGGCTAGGCCACCTGGATCGAAGCGGAACTTGCGCCAGTAGTCGCCGGTCAGCATATGCAGCGCCTCAGCCCATGCCTGCCTTCTGCCGTCACATTCAGATAGCAGTGCGTACTCATCCTCAAGCAGCATCAGGTATGCCTCGAAATCTTGCCTGAATGCCTGAATGTCGGGATATGCGCGCGCCCTGACCTTGTTCAGCACGCCGACTGCCGCTGACCTGCTAGGCTCGTCGCCCACCTCTGAGTTTCGGCGTATCAGAGCATCGAGGTTCTGGTTGAACATGGGGATGGTCTCCATGCCCATAGGCTGGCAGTATCCGTCGGCGTGGGCGGGCGGGTGCGAGAGCGGCATGTACCACTTGAACAGTTCAAGGTAGAAATCGTGTAGGTCTAGCGGAGGCTGACGCCCTGAGGCTGAGCGCTCTTCCGTGACGCCGCCAATGTCTATGACGGTTATGGCTGCATTTGCGGGGTCGAAGTAGATGTTCTGCGGACGCATGTCGAGTATCAGCGAGCCCGCGCTATTGATGACTTCGGCGACTTTGAGCACTTCGCGGACGATGCTAAACCTGCCGCGCTCCCTGTGCGCGATTACCGGATGAACTGCGAACAGGTTCTGCGGCGCGCCTATTGGATGGCGCTTGATGCCGTCAATGGCGCTTCCGACTAGCGGGACGCCGCGCGCGCGTTCCTCGACTACAACGCTATACGCCTCAGCCATACTGTCGCCGAAAAAGTCCCCAAGAGCCGCCAACCTGCCGCACGCCAGCATTTTGGAGACATGGGGCAGCTTGTCGCCGAGCCGCTCCCGCAGATCGATTGCTTTTGCCATACGCTGCTCGACGGCGCCGTGCTGCGCGCGCATTATCAGCATTGGATGCGGACGCTTTATGACGACGGGTAGTCCTGTCTCAGTGTCTGTGGCGCCAAAGACCTCGGAGTCTGCACCCTCCCCGAGTTTTTCGTGAAGCTGAAAGCGTTGTAGTTCCGCGGTAAATGTCATCAATCTGTGAGGTGGCTAGGATTCGGTCTTGGTGATACTTTTGTCTGGTGTATCATAGCATCGCATTTGAGCAATCTGAAATAAAGAAGGACGGGAAATGCCTCTAATCATTGGTGTAACGGGTTCGATAGCGACTGGGAAGAGCAGCGCGTGTGGGCTGATGGCTGCGCGGGGAGCAACACACATGGATGCGGACCGGCTGGTGCATCGACTGTACGACCCAGGCAAGCCTGCGTTCGACCGTATCGTGGCGATATTCGGGGATGAGATTGTTGGCGCGGATGGCTACATCGATCGCAAGATTCTCGGCTCAAAGGTATTTGGCAAGCCGGAAGAGATGACGAAGCTGACGACGGCTATCGGCAATATCGCGGAGGCGGTGAAAGAGGTGGTTGAAGAGTGGAACGATACGCTCGGCGATGACGATGTTGCGGTGCTTGAGGCCGTGAACCTGATAGAGGCGGGGTACGGGCAGTGGTGCAGCGCGGTGTGGCTGTTCGCATGCGACGATGATGCGGCGCGGCGACGGCTGATGGAACGCAACGGCTTTTCAGTGGAAGAAGCGGACCAGCGGCTTGCAAGCCAGCGCGCCTGGCAGGATCGCGCTCCGGCATCGGATCGCGTGTTCCACAACGATGGCGACATCAACGAATTCGAGGCACAGGTGAGCGCCGCATATACAGAAACCGCCCGCCTTGCGAAAGACGGACGGCTTCCAGTGTCCAAGTATTACGACTGGTGGGAGCGGCGAACTGCCGAGTCTAGTTCTTGCCAGTCTAGTTCTTGAATGCGGGCATAACCTCTTCGGCGAACTGCTCAAGCTGCTCGATTATGACCGATTGGGGCGTGCCAACAGGCATGCCTACATTGATCTCCTGCACGCCCGGATACTGCTTCTGGACAGCTCATGAGCTGCTCGGTACACCTGCTCAGGCGTCCCAATCAGCCATGAGCCCCCTTCCACTGCCTCATCGAGCGTGGGAAGCCCTGCCGTGTACACGCGGTCAGGGTCGCCCTAGCGCTTCTATCTGGTCGTCGGTCAAGCCGCGCACGAAGCCGAGCGGCGCGAACATCTTCATGTTCTCCTCGAAGAACGAGCGCGTCTCGCGTATGCCCTGCTGCGCGGATTCGGCGAGATAGACCGAGAAGCTGATGATGAGGTTTCCGCCTAGCTCGGTTTCTCTGCCGTGCTCGGCTTCAATCTTCTGCCACGCCTCTACGACGTTTTGCTGCGCACCGCCTGGGGCTGCGCCGCCGCCGATGATGCCCTTGATACCGTGCTTCGCCATGAAGCGCAAGCCGCGATCGCTTGCGCTAACCACAGGCTGCCAGCATTCCACGGGATAGTTCATGGGGCGGGGCACCAGCGTAATCTCCTCCAGCTCGTAGCCCCTGTACGGCACGCGCGGCGGTATGGTGTAGTTCTTGCCCTCATGGGAGAATGATTCGTTGTTGAACGCCTTGAAGATGATGTCAACCTGCTCCTCGAACAGGTCGCGATTTGCGTCTGCGTCCAGCATGGGCGCTCCGAACACCTCGACCTCGCGCGTGTGATAGCCTCTGCCAACGCCGAATATGGTGCGTCCCTTGGTTAGAATGTCGGCGGTGGCAAAATCCTCGGCTAGGCGCAGCGGATGCCACATTGGAGCGATGTTGAAGCCGCAGCCAATCTTGATGTTCTCTGTGATGTGGCAGAGGTGAACGGCTTCCATCAGCAGGTTACCGATGCACTCATAGCCCTCGCGCTGGAAGTGGTGCTCCGCCATCCAGAAGGTGTCGTAACCTTTCTCGTCCATCGTAGTCGCGATTGCGTCTGTCTTGTCGAAGACGGACGCAAGCCGCTCGTTGGAGTAGAAGCGGTCGTTAGCGGGCGTAGCGTCGAAGCCCATGTCGTCCAAGTCTATGTGGCCTGCGAACAGGCTGCCGAACCTATTAATCATTAGTGCGCCTCCAAAAGCGTTACTGGCGTGATTTGCGCCTTATTGTAGAGAAGTGGTGCGGAGTGTCAAGTGCTGGTGGTGAGGTGATTCAAAGCGACGAACAGCCTATCGCAGTTGGGTGCGGCGTTTCGAACTTTGCTGACATCGACTTGCTGCAGTAGGTCGGGAGCGTGGCGGGTCTTGTGGTATTTTCCTTTAGGCGTGCTACTGGTCGCGCTTTCGAGTCCGCTGATGATATCAGCTTTGGGAATGTCTTCAACTCTTGGATTTTGAGGAAGCCGATTCGTCTGAAATCCATTCCCATAGTAGTTTGCCAATGCGTTCTTGTCTGCCAATAACCAAGACTCCATGACTTCAACCATGAAGTGAATCTGATTGTCTTGTATTCTCGCGCCAACTCGACTGTTCCAAGTTGGACGGCCTTTAATGGACGCTATCAAATTGCCACCATCCGGGCCGTCCGAGTCCACCAGCAAATATTGAAAGCGGCATGGTAGTCCTGTACTCCGTTCATGAAGTCCTGAATAGTCTCATCGGCAGAACCGCCTGCAATCAATTGGAATCGGATGCGGCGTTGACGGAATGAATCTATTACTGGTTTGAGGAATGAGTTGAAGGCTGGTCGTAGCGCTTTGTCGCCTTCGAAATAGACGCGGATTTCGGTTACCACCGCGTTCCCCCGATTTCCCCTTTCTCCCAGAGTTCTCCAAGTTCGTACCGTTCAAGCCACTTTTCCAATCTATCGGCTGAAAGACGCTTGAATTCGGTGCTCGAGTCAAAGTTTCTTTCGCAAACGACTATGCTCTCTGGATCGTCCGAAAACTCATCGACCAGCGCCTTTGAGTGAGTGGTTATAATGAGTTGAGTGCGCTCGGATGCGGATTTGAGCAGTTTTGCAATCTGCGGGATCAGGTCGGGGTGAAGTCCCAGTTCCGGTTCTTCTATGCAGATGAGTGGCGGGGGTGTTGGGTGGCAGAGTATTACCAGCAGTGCGAGAAATCTCAGTGTGCCGTCTGACAGGCGCGTGGCCGGAATTACATTATTCAAGCCCTTTTCGCGAATCCAGAGCTGTGCAGTGTTCGCCTGAATCCCGACTCCGATCTGCTCATAGGTGTCGTAGAATAGCCTTAAATTGTCTTCTACATCTCGAAAGGAGGCATCCTTCTGCAGGTCGTTAAGTACGAGTGCTAAATTAGAAAAGTCTTCCAGGAGTGAGTTGGTAGGATTGTCAGTTTTCTGAGGCTTTCTTACGACACTGTGGCGCCCCATGTTCCACTCCCTATAAAAGTGAATGGCATTAAGTTGAACGCTAACCCAGGACATCTCTTGGTCTAGGAAAGGGCCCCGTACTTCGTGAAGAACGGACTTTCCAGGCGCGAGTTGCTCCGAACTTAACTCCATTGCTACCATTTGCCCGTCATCCTGTCTAACCATAATGTAACCATTGCCTCCCTGAACGTGAAAGAACTTGAAAGGCTCTTCATGTCCCGGATAGACCGACACACTTTCCAACAGTTCTTGGACGATATTCGCATGCTGTAGTAACTCTCCCATATCCAAGACGTAGTGCAGCGGCATCCTTTCGATAGCCGCAGGATAATTCAGTACAGTTTCAATCCTCCCGATTCCTGCAGGCCAAGCCTGTGGTGTAGCCCCTTTCCAGAGCCACTCGCTCACGCCACCATGTTGCCTAATATATCCTGCTAAATCTCGAGGCGCCGACTGCAACAACGCGATCATTTCAATTAAGTTGGACTTGCCGGATGAGTTGGGGCCGATGAGCACATTCAAAGGACGCAGTTCCAGTGACACGTCCTGAAAGGACAGCATGCCTATGATTCTTATGGATCTTATCAGCATTTTCTTGTCCTTTTGGACTTAATGAATGAGCTAGAACACTCTGATTTTAGCACGACAGCACCGTGCCTAACATCCTGCTATAATCGCGCACTATACGCATGTTGTAGCGAAAAGGAGAGAGATTATGCCAGTTACAGGACGATATCTGTTCACGGCGAGTATGGACATTCCGGCGGAGCAAGAGGCGCTGTTCAATGAGGTGTACGACAAGGAGCATGTGCCGCTCCTGAACTCGGTTCCTGGCGTCGTGTCGGTGGCGCGGTTCAAGAGGCAGGAGCTTACGCTGGCCATCGGCGGTGAACTTCAGACTATCGTGGTGGAGGACGAGCCGCGGTACAGCGCCATCTATGAAGTGGAGAGCGCGGATGTGATTACGAGCGATGCGTGGATGGAGGCATCCGAGTCGGGACGCTGGCCGGGAGAGGTTCGACCATACACGCACAACCGCAGGCATACGCTGAGGAAACTCATTCTTCCGGGCGAGACTGATTAAAGTGCAGGCTGAATGAGAATTGCCACCGGCCCTGTGCCCCGGATAACGCGCAGCACGAACTATAAGTGGTGGGTGTTCGCTTCGGTTGCGCTGGGGCTGTACCTGACGGTTACCGATCAGTCGGGCGTCAACATTGCACTGCCGCGAATCGCGCAGCATTTCGGCGCGGACCTGCCGGCGGTGCAGTGGATTGCGCTGGGATTCACGCTGAGCACCAGTGTGATGTTCATGCCGGTGGGACGGCTGTCGGACATCTTCGGGCGGACGCAGGTGTTCATGCTTGGGTTTGCCGTATTTGTTGCGGCTGCTCTGCTGGGCGGGAGCGCGGTCGCGTTCCCTGTGCTTATTGCGGCGAAGATCCTCCAGGGCGTCGGCGTTGCCGGAATCGAAGCGAATGGGATGGCGATGGTCGCCGACATATTCCCGGAGAAGGAGCGCGGCAAAGCCATCGGGCTGTACATGTCCATCATCGGCGCGGGTGCGGTTGGAGGGCCGGTCATCGGAGGGACGCTCGTAAGCCTTCTGGGCTGGCGGTCCATCTTCGCAGTGAGCGCGGGCGTGGGCGTCGTCGCGCTGGCACTGGCTGCCGTGGTGCTGCGGCGTGGCGTTTCGGTGGAAAATCGCCAACCCGCCGGTACGAACTTTGACTGGACGGGCGCGGGGCTGTCGGCAATCGTGCTTATATGCTTCCTGCTGTCCATCACGAACGGGCACAAGCTTGGCTGGTACTCCCCTGCGATAATGGCCGGCTTCGGGATAGCGGCTGCGGCGCTGGCATTGTTCATCTGGTGGGAGGGGAAGGCAAGCGCGCCGATGCTCGACCTGAGCTTCTTCAGGAGCAAGGTGTTCACGCTCGGTGTGTCGGCGCGTTTCCTGTCGTTTCTGGGCGGGTCTGCGGTGTACTTCCTGATGCCGTTCTACCTTGTGCAGGGGCTGGACTTCGAGCCAAGCAAAGCGGGGCTGCTGATGGTGCCCGGTTCGGCGTGCATTGCCTTCTGGGGGCCATTCAGCGGCAGGCTGTCGGACAGGATAGGCACGCGCTGGCTGACGGTTGCCGGAATGGCGCTGTGCAGCATAGGTATGCTGATGTTCGCGCGGCTGGATGTGGACTCGTCTGCGTGGGAGATTGTGGTGAGCATCATAGTCGAGGGGACGGGGATAGGGTTGTTCTCTTCGCCAAATACCAGCGCGATAATGACGGCGATAGACAGCCGCAAGTTCAGCGTGGCGTCGGCGTTTCTGAACCTGGTGCGAACCTCGGCAGGACTGAGCGGCATTGCGATATTCACGGCTATAGTGGTGTTCACGATGGCGTCGCAGGGGTTTGAGCCGGACCTGTCTGGGGTGTCGGAGTCAGGAGGCAACGACGTAAGACTGGTGTTCATCGCAGGGATGAGCCGGGCGTTCGTTGTCGGCGCGGCAGTTATGGTTGCGGCGATGGTTGTGTCTTTGATGCGGCCGGAAAACCCTTCGGTTCTGGATGAAGGCTAATGTCTGAGGACAGGGTGGAATGGGGTCATTACTCCAATATCCTGTTTTCACGGAGGCTGGCCTTCGCAACGTCAGGGCAGGCTTCACAGCTTTCCTCCATCGAAAAGAGGCGTGGCGTAGCTAGATGCCGCGCTTTGCCCTGGTGAACTGGTTTGTCATGCGATCGGCTTCGGGGTGGTCTCTGCCCGGAAAGTGCACCGGAATGTCCCGTGCCCCAACGACAGTGAACACGACAACTGTGAATGGTTTGATTCGCATTACGCTGCCGATGATGAGGTAGAAGCCGAGAAGTATTCCTGCCGCGCCACCGAGGAACAGGAGTACCTCGATGAGATCTGATGGTAGCAGCTTGGCGAACAGTACCTGAAGCACCGTTATCACGGCGCCGGCACCAAGAAACATCAGGCCGGGCTGCATGCGGCTTTCCTGGCCTCCGTTGGTCTTTTTGTAGCTGACGATGTCCGAAAGTTCGGCCTCGTCCGTTATCTCGGTGCGGTTCTTTCTATTGAGCGCCGCGACGAGCCGCTGATTCGTCAGCAAAGCCCATTCCGCTTCGCTGAGTATTTCTTCTTCTCCGCGCAGGTTCACATCGAGTGCGCACATTTTTTCACCGCCAAGTTCCGGATTTTACTTCTGCCATTATATCCAAAGTGTCAACGGGTGCAGTCAGCCGGTCGAAATCTGGGAGTCCGCGCTCTATAATGGTGTAAGATGAGAACAGGAATTTTAGCGACGGGTGCAGAGCGAAGGACACACAGGAACCGTGAAGTGGCAGGAACAGAAAATCCGTCGCGCATAATGCTTGACTTGCAAGAAATGATGAATTAAACTGTCTGAACGGTTGAAAGTTATGATGAAATTCATCTGCTAACATACAGCACTTTCGGTAAGCCTTCAGCAGACGGCTGGGGATTACCAGCCGTTTTTTTGTGCACCTTAACAACTGAATCCTGTCTAAGAATAGACCGAGTAAATGATCCTTAATGTGGGTCAAGTTATTAAGAGTCTACGGTGGATGCCTTGGGGCCAAGGGCCGATGAAGGGCGCGGCAAGACTGCGAAAAGCCTCGGTGAGCCGTCTGGTGAGCGTAGCCGGGGATACCCGAATGGGGAAACCCATCCTGGGTTATACCAGGATACCCCGCGAAAGCGGGGAGGTAAGTGGGGGAACTGAAACATCTAAGTACCCTGAGGAAAATAAATCAAAAGAGATTCCCCTAGTAGTGGCGAACGAACGGGGAAGAGCTCAAACCTATCGGACTTAGTGGACTGGGGTCCTATGTCCGATGGGGGTTGTAACACATGCTAGTTCAAGCCCCAGCGAGAGCAAGGAGTAAGAAACC